GACCACGAATTAGACATGCATAGTGTTACATCCAGATTATCAGATAATTTCTAACCATGATTCTTTTCTTAGTCATAATTTTAGATTATCATAATATCATATTATGAATGCAAGGAGAGATTTCTATGTTTCTTTTGAGTAGGAAGACATACCTTCTCTCATGAGCTAGATTCAGAATAGATAGACCTAATGACCAAAGGTCATAAGTCGTAGAATATGAGTCATTATGGAAAGGTTCTAGAGGAGCATAGGTCAGATTCTCCCCCACTCCTTGCCACAAACGCCCATGGTAAAGCAATGAATTTGTAGAATTGCTTGATGAATGTATGGCGAGATCAAATCCAGTGAGATGGTTGCCAATAACAACAACAAAGAATTGAATTGAGTTGTGGAGGAAGGGAGAAAATTATGGCCATTAAATCCAAGTGAAAACATATATAGATAAAACTTACACAGACAATTCATTACTATCCAAAGAATGAGAAGATCTCAAATAATCCCCAGAACCACCTCCGGTGGCAGTCTTGCCAAAGCAAATCAAGAAGTTGTCTGCAATACACCATTGACTTGATTTAGCAAGTACATTGGAGGATGGTAAAAAAAAAAAAAGACTATGCAACAAATCTTGACCACATTATTTACCAATATTAACAGCACGGTGAATAATATTGTGATAATTCACCAATCCAACCGCCCTAATTAAATGGAAAGCAATTCCAGTCAATGCTCTGCAGCCTTTTGTGAATTTTTTAGATTTTTCCACGGAAAGGGGGCTTGATTTAAGTAGTGGGATAACGGAACACCAACATATAGTGTAACCACATGGATATGGTTATCCCAAACAAAACGATCAAGAACATGGGTTACATATTCACTCACAAGGTACCCTTTGGAAAGAGAATCTTGGAAATACAAGATTCGACGAGCTCTGGAATAGCTGTCTTTGGCCTAAAAGAAGAAAAAAACCAGTAATAAGATAAGGATTAAAGAGAGAGTTTCGGCAATTAAAAAGAACAGAGGGAAATTTCATAAGGAAGGTAAATTAACATGGTAATAATGACAATGATCACGATGAATCAAGATAAACCTTAAAAGTAAATACGTTTAAAAGAAAAAAAAAATGAAAATTACAATAGTAAAAACAAAGTGAATTAAGATTTGACCGCATATGCAATATATCAACGCCTCTCACACAAACACTACTTAACTTACAAGCAGGTTTTAACCACTACCCCATAATCGTGCATCGGTATAGAAAATAATAAACAACAAATTAAAATAAAAACCAAATCTAAGGTGAAAAAAATAAAAGGAAAAGGCAAGTGGCAACTACCATTAGCTAACCGCGTGTAAAAAGTAGGAAAAATAACGGAGTAAACTCATTGAATTGTGAAAGCAAATAAATCCATACGGTTTGATGTGCAACATTTTTTTTCTTTTTCCCTCGGAAAATGATTAAAGGACCAGAAACAAAATATGAAGAAGAAGAAATTAACCTAACAAATTCAGACTCTATGCTGCAAGAAAAGTAGGAGAAAAGAACAAGGAAAAAGGAGCAAAATACACACAAAGTAAGAAACGAGGAAGAAAAAATAGTAGGAAAATGTCCCACATTTCCACGATTTAAATCCAACGGCCAATATGATACTCTGCTGTTTGCTTGCTAATAGCGGCAGCGATTGGAATTCAGAAGGTGCCAAATTTTATTCATGGTACTCACTCACACCCACCATATGCAAACCTTGTTCTTATCCAACCAACATACATAAAATTGACCATGCATTTCAATCCAAATTTTGTAATCTCTTACTTAATAAGGTTAGTAAAGGAAGAACGATGCATCCAGTAAAAAATAAATATAAAAAGAAAAAAGAAAAAAAAGAAGGAACTTTCCATTTACACGTTAAGATATCATAGCAGCCACACTAAGTCATTTCTAAAATTTTTTGCATGCAATTCTAATTCTTGATCACATGGACTTTATCAACCCCTATATATGGTGTACGTATCGTCCGTTAGCTGTTACATTAATGTTCTTTGATCACAATTAAACAATCATTTTTGACACATCTCAAGCACTACTGACCCACAATAAGTTTCCTTTCATTTTTTGTCAAAATCTTTCCTCCACACCTAGGCACGCAACAATGCATTAAAATTATATGAATAAACTTGTTACATGTATGGTTCGCAATGGTTGCTAGTTTGACAAATTACAAGAAGAAAAAAAAGAGACTAGTATTTGGAAAACAACATTACACCGTAAGGTAAAATAAAACACTAACCAAATCAAAATTAACTTTTACTCCCTCTGTTCCAAAATGATCGTCCTCTTTGAATTTTCATTTTTACGCATAGAATTTCAAGAATATTGAATTAAGCAGGAATACTGAAATGTGTGTATGGTATATTGTTGGGAAGGACCAAAAAAAAGGTAAGGCAACTTTTTTTATTGTCGAAACTCAAAATATTGATCTAGAACAACTTTTGGTATTACCCTATTGACAAAACATTTCATAAACTAAATTATTTTGACCTTTCAATGAACTAAATTAATGTCTGATTGGTCGAGAAAGTCACACAGACTTGGTTCATTCGGGCCCAAATCATATCATACGACAGAGAATAGACGGATTTTGGAGATGCAGGTTAATTTGAGTTTTGCTTATCCTCATATCAATGCGGTGGAAATGGAGCGTTGAATACAAATTAACATCGGAAGACTAATAATCAAATCCCTATTTCTTAGGAGTTAAAATAGGAATTGACTATTAGGACTCAAAACGACTAATAATCAAATCAAATTCTTCCTTGTTAATAAGCCAAGTAAGGAAACAATATCACCTAAAAAGAGAGATGTCTAAAAAGACTCTTCCACACGTTCACATTGAAGTCTTGGGCGTGGGTTTATCCATCTCGAGGTAGTCGGTGTTAGAGGAAAAAAAACAAGAGAGAAAACTTGGTTAAAGGACAGTGGAATGCGTCAAATTAATAAAGGAGTATGCCCTTAAAATATATTTTATAAAGATCGATAGTTTATTTATTTATTAAAAAAAACAAATCAATATAATTTTATGATGATATAATTACCCTTATTTTATAAATATAGTACGTTGTCGCCCAACATTCCATACTGCTCAAACAAACTAGAATTCTGCTACACTTTTAAGTGACAATAGAGAAAGTAATTTAAACTTGCTTAAACAAACCTAAGTACAAGAAACATCTCCTGAATTGTTTACAAATAAGATGGGTCCAAATTCTCAACACCACCAAGCCATCGTGCAAATCAATAATAAATTTATTAAATATCAGCAAAAACTTTTGACTACAAAATATTTAACGAACCAGTCCAAGCCAATAATCGGTCGATACTTAATTAAAGTGCTTTAAAGAAGTTTAATTACATCAGAATATTAACATACACTACAAATGAAAGGTCAAATATTCTGGACAGCATTAAATACAAGGAAATACATGGTCAAATATACGTCACACCAAAGTTTAGCAATAAATATGAGAAAGATAGAAAGAGAGTGGAGAAAGGGATTTGAAACCTTGGATTCATGAATTACTTTATTTTTTTCTCCAACAGGGTAAAAGACGAAAAGAATAATTATGTCATTTTAAAAATATATTGATTTTGTGACTTTTAACAAATAAACAATCACCCCTTGTAAAAAATATTTTAAAGTCATATCTCTTTTATTAATTTGAACTGTTCTACCCAAAAAAAAAAAAAAAATTCTTCCTAGACCAAACTTTATTAAGTAAATTGGAAATAATCTTCTAATCTTCTTGGACATATTCCTTGTGATTCGCCCTCCGTAATTCATAAGTAGCGTCGTGGTGTGTATGCTAGCTAGATGATTTGTATGCTAAGTATTATAGTTAATAATCGTTTTACTTATTTATTTACCAAGAATTAGGAGTAAGTTACATTGTAGTAGTTTATGAAGTAGTGGATTAGTTTTAAGAGTATTAATTAAGTAGAGTTATGGACTCTGTGGGAGTTATCCTTCTAGATTTTATCGTCTAAAATGTGTACCAAGACTTCTATTGACATTAAGAAGAAAAGAAGAAAGTTTTATGTTGGGGTGGAAGGGTTGAGTAGGGTAGTTAGGGGATTAGGATCTGCGATGATTATTATTACTAAGAGGTCGAGGGTTCGGTTCTCGATAGGATCATCCAATTTTTTTAAAAAATAATAATAAGAAAAGAAAGTTTTATGTTTTAGTATGTGTCTCCTTCTAAATTTCTAGAGTTTTGGGATTTAATTCAAATAAAATTCTAACATGATTCCTATCAAAACCCTTAACAATCTTAAATCGAGAAGATGAATCCATTTAAACTTTAGGTTGGTAGATAACGGCAACTCTAACGGTTTAGTTTTCACAATAGCTCGATCAAAACCTGAACCAAAATTCTTGTTAGTCTCCAACCTTGTGCTTAAATAGATGAACAAAAAGAGGACCAAGAAGGCAAGGGACAAAATAGATGAAGAAAGATAAGAAATGAGGAAAGAAAATTTTAGTAGAGGAGATGAATTTGATAGTGATGTTTGGTGATTACGATGTAGAAAGAGCCATTTTTAGGTTAGTCAAAAAAAATAATTTTTTGTCCTAAAAAAATGAAGATGACAATTAGCAAAAGAACAAGAAGAATTATAGTATTTTATTATTATTATTTCATATAGAGCATTTGGCAATAATGAATAACTGGCTTGTGGAGTTGTGGACTTGTAATTATTTCCATGGATAACAGTTAACCATAAAATTTAAGGTTGTTTAATGTCCAAGACGGATTTTTGATTTCCAATCTATAGTTAAGAGTGAAAACTCTTCCACCTCACCTTAACCCGGCTAGAACTAGAAGAATGCATAATTGCATATAGGGTACGTATAATATGTCATGGTAATTGTTTTTTAAAAAAAGAAAAATGAATAAAATGTTGATTAAAAAAACAATTTTAGAGAATAGTTAAAAAACTAGCGGCGCATGTTAGCATAACCCAAAAAGATTACAAAGCAAAAGAGAGGGTTTTTCCATTTCAAAACCCCGCCACCCGCCACACTCAGACACTCTCACTACATCATCATTGCCATTCTTTCCAAAAAGTGTCAATTTTCTTTTTCCCCTCAAGGAAAAATCTTTGAGTTAAATCCAGCTTCAATTTCCAGATCCCACAAAAACCCTAAAATTTTTTTTTTTTCTGGGATTTCCCTTTTGAAGAAGTAGAAGTAACGGCAAGATGCCGAGGGAAATTATCACGCTTCAAGTAGGTCAATGTGGGAACCAGATCGGTATGGAGTTCTGGAAACAACTCTGTCTCGAGCATGGGATTAGCAAAGATGGCATTCTTGAGGACTTTGCTACCCAGGTTCATTTCCCTTGACGCTAAATAAATTTGTGTTTATTTTTTATTTTTTTGAGTGCCTTTTTCTTGTTGTAAGTAGGAGAAAATTGGGGAAAGAGGGATTTTAGCTTAAGTTGTGGCTATGGGACGGAGTTATTGTAAGGGATTGTTCCTAGAACATTAGACGTTGTACTATTGGGTGGAGCAAGGTGATAGACATTTGGGTTTCGTAATTGGAGTTATGGGTTTAGGGATTTTAACTTTTGGCATTTTATAGAAAACAATAGAGAAGCGAAGTGTATGAAGTCTATAAATTGGAGCTCGGAGTTTGATAAATTTGATACCTTACTTCAAAGGAGGATAATCAGTTGTGTTATGTGGGTTTCAGATGAAATCGATCCGGAAATCTGTGCTGTGGAGTTCTTATTAAATCGCATATGCGTCGTGAGGAAGCCTATGTAACATACGTGCAACTTTTATCCTTTTTTGTGTATGTGCTAAGATACTAAAATGGCTCCTCACTGTATATTACCAACCGTTAAGTGGTTGGTGGGGAACCTGGGGGGAGTGTATGTTTTCACATATTAGGTTTTTTGGGGACTATTGATACTAGCCTGGAAGGGAAGTGCAAATTATCGAACATTTCTTGAGTTGCATTGGCCTTTGCAAATGAGAACCACATTGTTTTGCAATTTGCACACTTATGTGGGTATCTATGCATGTGTCAATGTAATTATGTTCCATACTTTGTGATGCTTCATTTCGGGGTTTTCTGATTGCTGCCTAGTAGCATTTTCATTTTCCATAAACTATAGCCATTGTGGGATATGAGCTCTGTGCTCCTACTAAACTTCTTATGTGAAATCATGTAGGGAGGTGACAGAAAAGATGTGTTTTTCTATCAAGCTGATGATCAACACTATATCCCACGAGCATTGCTTATGGATTTGGAGCCCAGGGTGATTAATGGTATTCAAAATGGTGAATACAGGAATCTATACAATCATGAGAATATTTTTATAGCTAATCACGGAGGAGGTGCTGGTAATAACTGGGCAAGCGGATATCATCAGGTTAGGACTTGTTTCCCTTGGTCAGCATTGCCTAGTTTTTGTAATTGTATTATGAGTAAGTAATGTTCTTTCACGGTATTACGAATTTATGTTAACCTCAACTGTAATATTGGCAAATGGGTCAAAATTGTTTGAACTGCAAACTTTATTTGTTGACTGCCGTATGTACTTCCATCTGTTTAGGAACTATAGATATTATATGATTAATTAAGTATGGTTCAGAAGATTATTGAGAGGATTCCATAAACTGATATCCATCCCTTGTAGAATATATATATTTTTTTCACTTCTTGGGTGTGTAATTTGTAGAGACTGTATAGGGCCTTAGAATTGTCTTTCCATTCCTCTGAATTCATGATCTACAGAAAGCTGAAGTTCACAAGATGGGTGTATCTTTACCAGTCTCAAGCTTAACTTGGGGAATAGCTTCTTTTGATAGTGTCTTTCGAGAAATGCTATTGGTTTAACACCTTTCACCCGTCCTCCCACTTACAAACAATACTATTTTGTTTTCAACTGTGAAACTTTCTTTTTTTCGTCTGAAACTTCATTTTAGCTCTTCAAAGTTGGTTTTTGTAGTAAGAAGACATCATTTAATGCTAAAAAGCGAGATATTCTATGACTAACCATCAAACCTTTTACATTACTGATGTTCATATTTCACGTTTACAGCTGGATCAGTTAATTTGTCATTTGTTGTTGAACTATATATCCGTTTTAGATAAAGAAAATACGTAATTGTTTTCTTGAAAATGGAAAAAGAAAACCCAAAAGACGGAAATTTCAAAAACAATTGAAGAACATTCTACTCTCTACTATAGTGTCATCAGTTTGCAGCTTGAAAATATTTTGATGTTTCCAGCCATGTGATGTTTGTGTTTGATCAGGGTAAGCAATATGAGGAGGATCTGATGGACATGATTGATAGAGAAGCTGATGGAAGTGATAGCCTTGAGGGCTTTGTTCTGTGCCATTCAATTGCTGGAGGAACAGGCTCAGGTCTGTCTTGACTTAATTTGTTACCTTTTTCAGATTGAAAACCTTTGTTCTATGATGCCCCAAATTCTGTCTGATGCAAAATACCCCATTATTAAACGGTTCGTCATCTTTGTTTCTGGTCCCTGGAAATATTGTTGATGATTTCCATTGTTTTGATTTGGATAGGTATGGGTTCATATCTGTTGGAAACTCTGAATGATCGCTACAGCAAAAAACTTGTTCAGACATATAGTGTATTTCCTAACCAGAACGAGACAAGTGATGTGGTCGTGCAGCCTTACAACTCCCTTTTGACACTCAAACGGCTTACGCTGAATGCTGACTGCGTTGTTGTTCTTGATAATACTGCACTTAATAGAATTGCTGTAGAACGACTACATATCACCACTCCAACATTTGCGCAAACAAACTCTTTAGTTTCTACTGTGATGTCGGCTAGTACAACAACATTGCGTTATCCAGGATACATGAACAATGACTTAGTTGGCCTTCTTGCTTCTCTGATTCCCACTCCAAGATGCCATTTCCTAATGACAGGATACACCCCACTCACTGTTGAGCGACAGGTTAGAGTTCTTCCACAGTTCCTCTATCATACTTTGATGCTATTGCATGGCAACTTTTGTGGGATTGCTTTCCTTTTTTGTTGTGGAGAGCCGATAAGTTTAAGAGTTCACTTGTTGGTGGGGAAGGTCTTAGCACTTCTCTTCTATGTACTAAAAGTCTGATAGTATAGTCTTGTTTATTTAATCTTGAAGAGAATTAGGCACAGGGAAGAGTGTATTTGTGTACTTAGAGATTCACGTGTGACTGTGGAAATTTTGAACTAGAATATTGTTATTGGAAGTACACAAATTCTTTTCTGATGCCCATAATTTATCTAACAGGCAAATGTGATCCGTAAAACAACTGTATTAGATGTGATGAGAAGGCTTCTCCAGGTAAGTAGCATAGCATCTCTGAATCTCCTTCAGAATTTAAGGGTCTATAGTGATGTTATTTTCTGTTTTGATGCAGACGAAGAATATTATGGTTTCCTCTTGTGCTCGAACTAAAGAGGCCAGTCAGGCAAAATACATATCTATTCTAAACATTATTCAGGGAGAAGTTGATCCTACGCAGGTAATTGCAATGTTATACACATGTTGAATAGAAAATATTATGAAGCTGAGCATGAGTACCTGAATCCGTTATCCTTGCTGAACATACTCATATTTTCATTATATGGTTGTTAAAGTTGGAGCAGACCTGTACTGCTGAGGATCTGGCAACGTTTTTCTTCATAAGCTAGGCTCACTTGCTAGGATTTTTTATTTTTATTCTTATTTTTATTATTATTTTTTTAAAGTTCAAGCTCTGCATTACTTTGTTTTCTTCCCCATCCCCTGGATAGTTTCAAATGAACTGAAATTGGGCTTCAGGTTCCGTCTTCTTGTGGCTTAGAGCTATTAGAGTTTCTGAGTCCTATTACTTGCTGAAGTTAGTCGACTTTCACAATAATTTTGTAGTAAAGTTGTGTCAAGGTGCAAAATGTGGTCCATGGTTTGATCTGTTTCTTGTTGCGAATTGATCTTCTAGTAGCGCGTGTCAAGGATTCCTAAATTTTGTTATTGAGTGTCCGCGTTTCACGATTATAGTAGTTCCCAGACTGAATGCTTGCTAGTTGGGAATATTGATGAATGTGTTTATTTGATGTGTTGCAGACGCACTGGTCTATAGATGATTACTTTCCAAGATAAGTCAGTTTCATAGAATCAGGCTGTTTGAAGCAGATCCTTTGTAACTAGAAATATACTGTAGCATTATGTTTGTCTTGCTCTGTAATCAGAAAGTTCCGAATTTGAACTTTATTATTATTTATGTTCAGGTTCATGAGAGCTTGCAAAGAATTCGGGAAAGAAAATTAGTGAACTTTATTGAATGGGGGCCTGCAAGCATCCAGGTATGTTTGGGAACCTATTTCATTTCCAATTTTGTTTACTATTTCGATTTTTGATGTTGTACTTAGATGTATCTTTTCAATTTCTTTTCACTAGGTTGCCCTCTCAAGAAAGTCTCCTTACGTTCAGACTGCTCACAGGGTGAGATTTTGATTCGAATCCTTTTTAGATAGAATTTTCTACGTATGTTAGACTCATGAAGGAATATTTTCCGTTTCTTGTTTATAACCTTTGATTTGTCACTTTTGCTACTCTGCGATTAGTTCTGATGATAATGCAACAAACTATTAGAGTTGAATGCAATTTCTTTGTTCTTTTTTTTTTTCCGTGGAGTTTGGGCAATTCCTTGGACTTCATCAATATGTACCTGATTAATGCCGCTTTCTGCTTCCTTGTATTGATCTTTAGCTCGCACTTGATATCAGATTACTATTTTTCTCAAGTTCGTATCGTAGAAAACATCAACAATATTAATGAATTGGATTTTGCTTTGTTTGTGCTTAATAGGTCAGTGGTTTGATGTTAGCCAGTCATACTAGCATCCGACACTTATTCAGCAAGTGCTTGAGCCAGTATGAGAAGTTGAGGAAGAGACAAGCCTTTCTTGACAACTACAGAAACCACCCAATGTTTGCTGTAAGTTTTTTTGCTGATAGATTGATTTTTCTTGATTATGAGTGTAAATATCAGGGATTGGATAGTATCTTTTCATGGAAAGACAAGACTTTGGTGTTTAGAAATGTGAACATAAAGATCACGTAAATCAACTACCTTTAGACCACGATATGGTTGATGGTCTGCCAGTTAATTTTGCTTAGTATTGATCCTCCTTAAAGAACCTGCAATGTGGTATGCTATGAATCTGCAACCTGCTCTGAACATTATGAAATACTTTTGATGCCTAAACACGAAGAAAAGCTTCGTGTGCTTAATTTGCTTCAGATTCTTCCAACTTTTGCTAGATTGGTTTCCCAAATACTTTACACCTCAAGAATTGCTTCATCCATGCTCATATAGACATGCTATGATCTCAAGCACCAAAGAAATAAAAAGGAAGTAGAAAGAAGATTCTATTACCTGCCAACCACTTTCTAAATCAACATTGAACCAGATGATTTATGATTTTAGTGGATTCCTGAAGTTGAGAGTTATAGTAAGGATTAGTCTTCTTGCAAGTTAGAATTAATCATTTTGGAAGGGTTTTGTTTTTTCCTTTTTTTTTCTCCCTCTCCTTTTACTGCATTGATCTTTTTAACTTAACATTAACTGTCTTTGGCAGGACAATGATCTCTCCGAATTTGATGAATCTAGAGATATCATTGAGAGTCTTGTTGATGAGTACAAGGCTTGTGAATCCCCAGATTACATTAAGTGGGGCATGGAGGTACCTAGCAAGTTGCTGGTTTTAACATTTCTTCAATTTGCTTCTTTCCTTACCAATTGTGTACGCGCTTTTCTAGGATCCGGACCATGTTCTTACTGGGGATGGAAGTGCTACAGGGATGGTGGACCCAAAATTAGCAGTTTAAAAAAAAGGTAAGTCTCAACTACCTTTTTATTTAGGTGGGGATGGTGATTTCTTATGCTGCGACAACTTGGATTTCTTGGTCTTATGATCTGTATAGACATGTGTGACTTCCTTATTTGTCCCTTTGCAATGGTGCTGTTCAGTATCTATTGTCTCTTCATGGGTTTCTTATTTAGAGCTTCCCTGCAGAATATGGTGCATTGTGTCTGCATATGTACTGATTTATTATGACCCCTTGCACCATATACAGATGTAACTGCATGGATATGTGTGCAAAGCCGCTTTTTAATTTTTCAAAGTTTTAGGAAAAGGTCATTACAGTAACACCCAAACCGTCGAGTTTTTCAATGGCATCGGATCTTTATATTTTCTCAATTGAAGTAGTTTAATTTGATGTAACACTTGGTAGTTAAGTACAACGTAGACCTTCTCCTCCTTCATTAATTAACTGTATTCATGCCTTTCAGCTGGCTCTTTTAAATTCCTCTTTGTTGTGATCTCTGTTTGTTCATACTTCCAGCATTGAGTTTATTTTTGCTAAGTTTTCAATCCTAAAACATGCTCATCCCAGGTGGTTGCAGTTGATGCCAAGCAAAGTGAAAAAGGCGTGTAGAAACAGATGTCGTTTGAACTTGAGTTTGCGGACGCTAGGTGTTGCGTTTGTTCAATCATCTGGAGAGATGGATTGTAAGAGTGCAGAGACAGTGTCAGAATTGCAGTAGGGTTGTGTATATTTGTCAATCTAGTCTTGTATTTTGTATATTGTTCCAATTTAAGATGTTCAGTGTGAAAAGAAAGATTGTACTGGCATTAGCAACTTTTTCTCCAGTCTTTCACCAAAAAAAAAAAAACTTTTTCTCCAGTCAGAATGAAATACAACTATTTGTTGTTAGTTTCTGCCCGAGAAATCCTTATTAGTGAACAATGCAAGGGGAGGGGTAAAGGAGCTAATTGAATTATACATTGGCTTCACGAAAGCATTCAAATTATGATTTCCTGTCTTTCTTTTTTTTTCCCCCCTACCCCTTCCAAGTTCCATCCCATATCAATGTGGATGAAGAGGAGAATTTACTCATTGATACAGGTCGAGGGAAGTCTTTTATTTATTTTTTTAATTTTAAATTTCTGAATGATGATTGTCAAGAAACATTTGAAGAGGGTTGAAAAAACCGATTCTTTAGACGATTGTATAGCTGACACTATCATAAAAGTTTTCTTATAATATTGCCCTAAGAAAAGAGAAAGAACAAGGCAAGTGCTTGACATTGTATAATAGAACTTAACATTATTAGTCTTCTTTTTGTCTTAAAATTATTGTCCAATTTGAGTTTTCAATTTTAGTTCAATTTGTATTAAAAATAAAAATCTAAATTGAAAAATAATTCAAAAAACTAACTGCACAAAAACTTTGGGGGCTAAAAAATAGGATTGCATTTATTGGTGAAATTAGTAATACTCCAAAAAAAGTGGTGGCGAATTGCATTTTCAACAAAATAAAGCAAAGAAAAGGTTTAAACCAAGAAATCTCTTTTCTGCTGTAAAACCCAAACTACATAAATAGATTTTGAGGGGGATACAAAATTGACTCAGACAAAGAGATGGAGAAGAAGAGAAGAATAGGATTTGAATTCATCAATAAGAATGATAGAAATCATAGAATCACGCTGCTGATCCCATTGATATGTTCTTTGCTTCTACTGTATTCACCCCTTTTAGTTTCTTCAAGTGTTGATTCTTCACCTCAGACGAATCTCCAGGTTCGCTTTTTCGTCCTCCTCTGTAAAGTTGTAATTTTTATCTTTCGTTTTTATTGATTGGGAAAGCGGGATTGTAAAGAATTCAGCTGCATCGGCTGTTCTTACTTTTGTTGCTGTTGCTAAAGAACTGTTTTGAGAAGTAAATGTTGATGCTTGATTGGGTTTTATTTAATCCCAGGAGTCCGAATTGGGTCCAGTTTATTGGGATTTTTGAAAAAGTTTAAAGTGGGGTTTGTTCTGTATTTATTTTTGAAATTTGTTGTTGAATCTTCATGGGTTGGATGTCAAGATATGTTTATTTCTGAGTTCATTCTTTGATTCATGATAAGAAATGCAAGAATTGATTGAATTCGTTATGTAGCCATACTTTAAGGGCGTCAATGGAGTTTTCCTATCAAGAACATCTGCATGATTTTGGGGAGGACACAGTTTCCTTGGAAAAAGATATCATCTTTGTGCTTTGATCGTTTGGCTGTTTTGAATTTTAAAAGTTGTATTTGTCGTACCAATGTGAATAGTTCTTGTAAATTACTCTGGATGTCCAAAGGATAAAAATTTGTTAGCACTGAAGCAATTCCTGGACCGGGCATTTTGGCTTTGCTCTGTGTTTTCAATTGTATGCACATTTGCCTTAATGCAACTACTGTTTCCTGCTACAATATTTTTTTAATAATTTATGACATCTCTAAATTAGTTTCAAATATATACTTCTGGTTTATGTGCAATTCCTCTGACTGATTTGATCCCTGGATATTGCAATGCAGGGAACAGGTGTTCCTGGTTCAAGGTAATTTCTTCTGTCTACCTTGGTTCATCTTACATCTGATGTTGCCATCTCCCAAGTTTCGTCTTCCTAAACATGGATTGTGGAGGCTCATCATGAAAACCAAATAATTCGCAGTTTGATATTTGACTTAGAAAACCGAAGTCTGGATTCATATTCAATCTATTCTTAGGCTTGCATTTGGAATAGCTGCTTACTATTTCCCTCCTTCTTGTTGTTCAGTGTTCAAACACAAGAAGGCCCTCACGTGCATGAAGTTCATTGTTCCAGAGAAAGAAGTCGTGCAGCATGGAGTGTTATTCAGGAGGTACACGACTCTACATTGGCTGAATTGTTACCAAATTGGATCGTTTATTCTACTAAAGTAGTAATAGCCTTCTTTTATTTTCTGCAGTATCTAATGCCCTATGTGGAGCGAGAAAAATATCAGCTTTCAAGCCAATGTAAACTTCACCCGAATAATGATCTATTTAGAGATCAGGAGGAGCATAAGATTCATGTTGACATACATGAATGGCGTTGCGGGTATTGTAAGAAAAGCTTCCGTGCAGAAAACAATCTTGATCAGCATTTTGACAACAGGCACTCCAATCTGTTAAAAGTACGTACTGTTAAAGTTTAGTTACTCATAAAGTGAAGTTTGGTAATGCACTTAGAAGGATTGGCTTTCTGGTCAAGGAATACACATTTTGTTTCATCTAATGCAATTAAATGATGCATGAAAACATTCGGCATTTGTTTGCTTTTTCACATCAGTATCGAGATCTTTATTTCCGAATACATACTATGTTCCTGTTTATTACACTCACATTGGTTTTGAGAAACAAGAGTTGCATCTACCCAAAAAAAAAAAAGAATAAAAAAAAGAAACAAGAGTTGCCTTTTTGGTGATTACTTGTGCCAAAAATTTCATTATCAGAAGATCATCAGCCACAAAGCTTCTTGAAAACCCTGTCTATCACTTTCTCATATCAAAATGTCAATAGTTAACCTATTGGTGTGACAGTTCAAATATCTGATTCCAATATTATCCCGCATGACCACCAGTCTTATCTAAATGAGGCATATGATATGTCAATTTCACAGACATGAGACTTTCACACCATTTTTTTAGCTTATTTGCTTCATCAGAGTCTAGTGCTTTCTTGCCTCTTCAAATTTTTCATTTTTAGTTGAGCTGCTACGTGAGTGTGGCTTCTCTTGCTCGACACATTTTGTTTCTGTTTGTACTGTTAAAAGTTTTCCTTTTTTGGTCTCCTCCATACAGATTGAAAATTGTTATGTAAATGATTTGATTAACTTGAACCATGGATCGAAAAGCATATTTCCAAAAAACTTCTTGTTCCCGTTATCGTTTAGTTTGGATATGTGCTTGTTGTTGGTCATTTGAATAAACTCTGTATGTCTGATATGCCTAGCTAGTCAAGATGTTTTGCATTTTATACGTTTATACTATGGAAACTTGGAGTGAGCAGCTTTACTAAGATGGCTTCAAGAAGAAGCAACATAAACTTTTAAGCATGTTCAGGAAACTAAATGGAATCATAAGTCTAGCGTCATTTAGAAACTTATCTTCTCCAATCTTTTCTGGATTAGAGTTTCTGATTTTGCTAAGTAGTTTGACAACGCATTCAGATTTTAGTTGAAGAAAATCATGTGTAGCTGTTTACCACGTGTTCCCCAAATGTTTCAGTTCCTGTTATCAAACTTTTCAGTTGTCAAAGTTCCAGTCCCATATAATTTCTCTTGAAAAAAGTAGTATCTTAATTCTAAACCCTTGATGCTTCCAATGATTCCAGAGCAATGGAAAATGCTTGGCAGATTTGTGTGGCGCATTGCATTGTGACCTTATGATGGATACAAAATCACGTAAAAGCAAATGCAATCCTGCAGCTGCTGCTAAGAACCGTCATCTATGTGAGGTTGTGTTCTTTCTTCCCTTAGTGTGGAAATAATATGATTTTCTCTCTGACTTCTCTCTGACATCTATTTTTTCTCATTACAGAGTCTCGCAGACAGTTGTTTTCCTGTTAATCATAGTCCCTCAGCATCTCGTCTTCATGGTACATAACTCTCCTTAAAACTGAGAAAATATCTTTAAATTTCCTTATCTGAAGTTTAACTTTATTTGATTTTTCTGATAGATTTATTTCTGCGCCAATTTTGCGATGCTCACACCTGTTCAAGAGGAAGTAAACCCTTTGCTAAAGGAGGCAGGGTAAGTTTTTCTAGTACATGCTGAAGACCTTTTAAAAATTCAGTCTAGTGCTTTCTTCGGGTTTACTGGAAATTGCCCCCTTATTTCTTAGAGAGTGTCTCATTTTGTTTTCTTATACTCATTAACTCTATTAGCTGAGAAGGCTAACCTGGCGGACCCTGTAACTGTTTCTGTAATAACTTGCTTGAATTCAATGCAGAATGCTTTTGAGTCATTCATTGTCTGTTCTGATCTTTCACACTGTTGTCATGTCGTTAACTTTCTTTCTCTCTAATGTGCAGAAGAATACAAGTGTTTTCTACTTGGCAATATCCATACTAACTCTGATGCTGCTACCGATATTCTACACTCTGGTTTATTTGTACCAAAGGTGCTCTTTCTGGATACTGAAATCAAGATGCTTCTGAGTTTCAAATTATATGCTTAATCATAGTGAATCTCTCTTTTACAGTCAAATGCGAAGAGGAACCCAAGAACTTAAGCGAATATCGAAACTGGGACATCAAAAGTCCAAGCCCTCTTAGGGTTGAAGGTAAATATTTTTGAAAGATTAGTTAGTTTTAACGTGCAGTCACTGTCAATCTTTGATGTCCATTTCTCTTTTGTTAGTTCAGAAAGGGGTTAGAGTTATTTTATACGGATCTGGGAATTAGGATAGAAATGAATAAGGATTAAGATTGGATTCTGGTTAGCATTGGCATCATTAAGGTTATTTTAGCTTCTAATTGGAAAAGGCTTGATTACCTTCTTTTGTTAGTCCTATGCTTGCTGTCTCATTTAACCTCTGCAGCTTCATGTCTAAAGTCAAAAGAACAGAAAATAAAATTTGCTTTCTCCCTTTGCTGTAGAACACCGAGTATTACTTGTTTGACAAATAATAAATCCTGTAGGTGGAGCTAATCTGTCCATTAAAAGATGATGTATCATTGAGGATCATCCAATCTTCTCAAGTTGAAGATGTCTTCCCCTGGCAAAGAATCTCATTTGTACATTTATGATGCTGGTGCAGCCGATCAAATCATTCCATAGATACTACTTTCATTCCTTGTGTTTCATGAAAAGCATCCTCTCACGAATTTTGGTAGTTAGTGTAGAAACGTCGAGATTCGTAAAAATACTCTTTAACAGAAGAAGCTAGATTAATATTGAGCTGCGGCTCATTGAGATACTGAGCTGCAGCTCATTGAGGTGCTATTTGATTGATATCTCGTTGTTGTACTTTAGAATAATTTGTAATGAAGACAATTCTCCAAAGCTTAATGGAGCTAGTGTTGGCCAGTGCTTTCCTTTGGCGAGAGCACGATGAAATGATGTTGTAATTTACTTTAGTACATAGTGATAGAAGCTTTGTTGCAGTTCCTATGGTGATAAGAATAGTTTCAGAATTTCAAACTCCGCCAAATTTTGATTAAAAGAAGATTGTTGTTAGACATAAAAAAGAAAACTAATCAACTTGAAGACATAAAGAGAAAAGTAAGCAATGAGACACACCAGTAAACGTAACTAAAAGTAGGATTACAACCTACATATCCCACGCAAAAGAATAGCCACATCATAACTGGCTGTTACCAAATTCATACTAAAGGATGGAGTTTAGATGGTTACATTACTTTGATCATGTACAAAAACCACCATCTAGGTTAGGACACTATCAAGCATTGTCAATTACTACCGCTTCTGTACCCAAAAATCAGCAATATTTATAACTTCTACACCCAGTCAGAATAGCAAGACATCGGTCAGCAATATGGTACTTCAATGCCTTCAACCTCCCAGTTATCATCATCTGAACAGTAATTCTCCTTCTTAGCCGATAGACTATTTTGATCTACACCCATTTTCTGTTGAAAACCTGCACGCCTGACAGATTGGAACAAATTCACAATGTATTAATAAACTCAGAACTTTCATTTTAGACATGTAAAGAAAAGGTCAACGAGAAAGGTTGTGAGAAATGTCTTCTACGCCAGTAGAATACAAAAGAAGACACCATAATATTTGCCTCTTTAAACAAAACAGATACACTATTGTGAAGAAATTATGAAGATTTTCAATTTCCTGCTACCAAGCATAGGCCAAAACAAAATTTATCACCGTCAAGAAACTGTTAGGATGCAAAATTATCTGCTCCAAAAACATGTATGCTTAGCACTTATAACCACAGAAGACTGCTTTTACAAAAAAAAAAAAAAAAAAACAACAACACAAGACTGTGGAAGAAAACCTTGGTGAAGAAGTAGATAAAATCTTGCAAACGAGTTACAAAATTACAGAGAATTCCATCAGTATTCTCAGGGTATAATAACAGACCATAATCAACCATCTCCAGGGGATACTCATTGGATAGGTCCTTGGTCCATTTATGGCTCAACCAGAGTCCAATTTATGTGGAAACGATAGGAACAAAACCTCTACGATGTGCAATCAGACTCACAAGTCAGGGTATGTTCGCCCATGTTTTTCCAAATAGAAAAAAACACAGGCAAAAACCCACCAACAATACTACTACTTCATAATCATAAGCAGGACACAAGTGTATACCTAAGTCTCCTATCTAAACATGTGAACACCAAATCGATCACATTAGACATTCAGCTGAGAGTTCTCATCAAGCATTCATATCATACTTTCTGTTCTCATTCAAATACTAAATGTTACTGTTCTAAGCCAGAATTAAGTTCACAACCGTCATCTCAGATAAAACTAAAACAGAAATTGCAATAGCAACATTACACATCATTATATCCATCACTACATTCGGCTACATGTTCACATAAATTTAAAATCCATCCAATGCCTTGCCAAAATTATGTTACATCAAACATCAGAGTCTTTCTAAATGATTCCTTATCCATTCTTCTCTAAGGTCTACATTTCCACCAACTCCGAACCAATCCACGGAAAAAGATATAGTGACCCTGAACTTGCTCATTAATCTATAAAATTTCACTCACAGATAGACTTATTCTTCCAAATGAAAAGTCCGAGCTTATCATCACATAGAGTATCAATGAAATTGGAAAATGAAACTTAATACTTCAACTTAAGATTCTTCCACTTTTATCAAAAAAAAAAAAAAAAATTCTTCCACTCTGTTAATGATGAACAACTTAGAAAGGCATCTCTACCAATGTTCTCTTTCGCATATTTCCTCTCTCATAAAGGCCATTTATCCGTTTTTGACAAAAAAAAAATTATTTCTCCCATTTCCTCATACTAATAATAACATTTTAACAAAGAACCATATTTACACGGACAACTGAAAACAAGCAACGCCCAAATATCAAAGTTGAACAACGAAAAACTTCCTATAAAGCATCAATCACATCACAAGGAAAAGAGCAAGCAAAACATCAACAAGAATAAACACACGGTTACACAGAGTCCCAAGGCAAAATTTATCTTGGAATTCGACTTACTTATGCTTTGGGGGCCGCTTAGCAGCCAATCGAGCTTTCCTTTTTTTCTCCTCCAGAGGGTCACGACGAATTGTATTCTTCGGTATCTTAAGCCCTCCGCCAGCCCTCATCTTGGACCTACAACAACAACTCCGATTATCATTTATCTCTGAAGAATTTAAAAAAAAAAAAAACAATAAAACCAAAAAACAAGTAGTAACTATTATGAGCCCTGAGAAAAAAATCAAAACCTTTTGAGAAGTTTGGCAGCTCGTTGAGACTTGGTTTTCATCTTCTCCTGTGGGTTTTGAAAGAACCTCCTCCTTTTCATCTCATAGAAAACACCAGCCTTGGCAGCAGAATACATGAACCGCTTAGCAAGCTTGACCCCGTCTTCTTCATCCCGGGGTACAACTTGAACACTGTAAGGCTTGTAAAAGTACACATTTGCATAAGCAAGTGAAGGGCAGATTACAGAGTCAACTGAAACAGGGGAAACAGAAGAATCAAGGCATGGTGAAAATGAAAAAGGGTTTTTTGGGACTGGTACAGGGTTGGATGGTGGTGGATTTTGGAGTGGGTTTAAGGCAATTTGGTGGGGTTTTTGGGATAGTGGGGAGGAGACAAATGGAAGCAGAGGAAGCTGAGAAGGTGGCTTTTCAAGGTGGGGTTTTAGGGAAAGAGAAAGGGATGGATTTTCAGGAGGGAATGGGGAAGGGAGGGACCTCAGGAGGGACGATGATGCTGACCCCATTGATTCTCTCAGGTCACCTGAGAATCTGATTGAGAGGAGTTACTAGTAGTAAAATCTATATCTATCTATATCTATTCTATTCTATATACTATACTAAGCCAAAAACGAGAGAAAACTAAAGACATGGAGCATATGCCACATAGGATTTAATCATATGTGGTATTTTCTTAATTTCTTAGACTTAAAAATACACAAAACAAAATAATAAAATAAAAAAAAGCAACTAAAATAATTAAAAAAATAATAATAATAAAAACTGAACCCTTATTTTTATGAACTAAATCCTAACACATGTCCTAATTTCATTTTTAAGGCAACCCTTTTCTTTTGCCTGGCTGTCTTCTGCTTGTTTGGCTGTGATTGGCATAGATTATAATGGTGTTTCCATTGAAGAAATGTAAAAATAGGACCCATAGAGTGGGTCTAAAGGGAAATGAGTTCTTAAAGTTCAACACATTAATCAAGGGAGTTTTATCAAGGTATAAATTAGTTCATGTTCTTGCTAACTAGAAAGAAATTAGGACAAGTTTATTGCTTTCAATATCAAGTTGTTTTCATTTGACAAGAACACGAAGCTGAATTTGTGATTCTTTGTATTGGGAGATTTAGCGGACTGCCTAATATTCCGGATTTCGCACAAGACAGTTGCTTAATGTGCAGATGTTAATGGTAAGGGTTCTCCACTTATATGATTTTGTTAATTTCTTCATTATGTTAGCTTGATGTGGAAAATTCCTAAGAAATTAAATGATTTAAAAAAAGATGCCTCTTTGTGCAAATGTTAATCACTAAGTGAACAGCAAAACAGTTAATGTTGAAAGTCAATGTGTCTCATTTACTTGGCAAGATATTACTTATTCATCCATCTTGATACTTGCTTTCCAATGTTCCAAAGTTAATTGAACATTAACAGCCATGATATTGACTAAACCATGCATGTTGTCGGTGTTTTTGGTTACGAAACAATAAACCTCGCACAATAGTTCAGAGAACGGTTCCCTGAATGCTATACATGAACTATTGGCAGAGCTTTTGGTTCATAAGCCTGGCGAACGATTCCTGCACTTCTTAGCCGTCCTGCTTCACCATTTGTAATCAACTTCCTCATCCTAGAGCGATCAGTCATATCATATCTTCTGTATTGAGCATCCAATTCTATATTATTGTTATAATCATATATTACTTTTTTGAATTATGTTTTTTTAAAAAAAATTATTGGAGTTGTTGTTTACGTATAACAATTATAATTATCGTTAAATAATATAATAATATATTATTTTATAGAGCAATTCTATATAACAAAATGTCCGAGTAAAAGCATCTGCTGCTAAGTCTCGTAGCATAAACATGTTTCTCATTATTATTGAATTCTATGATTGATGATATTTAAGGGCTATACTGTGGAATTGAAACCTCTGATTATTCAATTGAAAGAGGAAAACACAAGGTAATTCCAAGAAACAGGTGCAGTGTGTTAATCTCAGGGGAAGATGGAACTTTCAGGCTGCACATGTTTTTTTTTTTTTTGCATGGCTTTTTGCAAGGGTAACAGGTTGGTTTACATATAGAAACGGATAGATTATGCTTACGCATGCATGGAAGTAGAAATCTGCTTAATCAAAAAGATAGCCATGATGGGGTAATTTTTTGCGCCAAGTGTTAATTTTTTAATAACATATCAATATGTTAAGCAGGGTGCCCGAGCAAAAGCATCTAGTTAATATTATCATCGTATCAGATGGAGAGAGATTAAAAAAAAGGTCAATTATTGTAAAACACCTACAATCAAACATGTAATGAAACCTGCTACACACACGCGCGCATATATATATATATATATATATATTAGATTTATACCCGTACGATGCATGTGATTAAATAATAATTTAGTAATAATTTATCATTATTATTTTATTATAATATTACTTTTTTAATTATATTACTTATTGAAATCAAATAAAATGTTACAGAAATAGGTTTGATGTCCAGATATAGCCGGTCAATAGTTCACTTACTAAAGTTGATCTAAGAACTTACAATGTGACGTCTATAAATTTATTATTATTATTTGATGAACTTTTTAGTCAACAATAAAATATAGACATAAATTTTATTGTGTGGTTAAGCTCAAGGAAACTGGTGCCACTCCCAACAACAAATTCAGGATCTAATATTCCAACATTTCAAGGCGATTTTTGTCTATGAAGACAGGTACCCGAATGATAATGAGATTTGGTGCCATAGGACACCCCTGGAGCAACTCATAACGCCTCAAATTACTCCGGCACAACAGAAAGATTTAGCGAAGAGTTTCACAACGAAAGAGGTTTGGGAAGCTTCAAGGAGATGTAACCTTGGAAATCGCCAGGCCCAAATGGTATCCCGGCAGGTTTTTATCAAAATTTTTGGCACAATATAGGAGGAAAAACTTCAGTCTCTCTACTCAGGGCACTTAACGGCCAAGAATGGTACGACAGTTGGAGCGAAACTAATGTAATTTTCATCCCAAAAAAGGGTAACTCGGTCAACCTGGCAGACTTCAGACCGATAAGTCTTTGCAATGTTAAGTATAAGATCGTCACCTAAGTCATAGCAAACAGAATCAAGAGAGTGTTAAGCGGTCTCATATCAGAGAATCAGAATGACTTTGTCCCGAGGCGTTACATTGGAGAGAATATTCTCCTGGCATATGAAGCAATTGAACGCATAAGAAAACGGACAAAAGGTGAAACAGGATATGCGGCAACCAAACTAGATATGAGCAAAGTCTACGACCGTGTCTCATCGAGTTTCATCAAGTTGGTTTTGGAAAATTTGGGCTGCCCTACCTCTCTGGTCCAACTGATCATGAAATGTGTCTCATCGGCCACATACACGGCCTGTGTAAATGGTTGGAGATCAACTTCTTTTAAATCCAAGAGGGGCCTCAGACAAGGTTGCCCACTATCACCCTATCTTTTTATCTTGTGTCAACAGGCCTTCTCCATAGTGATCAACAGTTTGGAAGAGGAAGGAAACCCATTCGGGATAAAGCTCTCATCAAAGGGACCAAGACTTTCACACCTAATGTATGCTGATGATTGTTCAATCTTTATGGAATGCAGGGAAGAGAATTTCAGAGCTTTCGGTCAAATTCTGAATCAGTATGCGAAACTGTCGGGCCAACAGGTAAATTTCCACAAATCAAGCCTCCTGACAAGCCCCAACACAAAAAGACACACCAAGGAATTGATGGAAGAATGGTTACGCATCAAGCAGAAGGAGTGTCCAGGCAAGTATCTTGGCCTTGATTTAAATTTCATGCAAAAGAAAAGTGTTCTTTTTGGCAGCATTGTCAACAGAGTCCGAAACAAAGTAATGGACTGGAAGAACAACTCCCTAAGCATGATGGGCAGAATCACTCCGGCTAAGCACTGTCTAGCATCTCTTCTGGTATACATGATGGGAGCCTTCAAACTCCCACTCTCAGTCGCTTCACAAATAGACCAAGTTCTTGCGAATTTCATATGGAAAGGTGATACGAAAGGGCGAGGAATTCACTGGAAGTCATGGAAGCATCTATGCAAATCCAAATTTTGAGGAGGTTTGGGCTTCCGGTCTGCTAAAGAAATGAATCAAGCTTTGCTAGCAAAACTCGCTTGGAGAATTCATGAGAACAGGTCATCTCTCTTTGCAAGGATTTTTATGGAAAAATATGCTAAGTCAGAAGACATAATGGACTGCGAGATTCCAGGTCAAACAACGTGGGGATGGAGAAGCATCATGTGGGGCAAAGAACTCCTAGTAAAAGGAACCAGATGGAGCGTTGTAAATGGGAAGGATATCAACTTAACAGATGACTAGATTCCGATTGGCAGTAATCCACTAATGCATAATCCACTCTTTCAATGGTTCCCAAACTTCAAAGTGAATGATTTGCATCACGAGTCGGGCAAGTGGAATAAGACAGCAGTGGAGATATTTTTTCCAGAGGATTTAGCCAAAAATATCATGGCCATTCACATTCCTGCCGATTTCAATCAAAAGAGAGACATGAAGATTTGGAAATTCTCACTGTCAAGGCAATATTCTGTAAAGAGCGGATACCACCTTGTCTCAAATGAAATTGATCAACATCGGGCGAGCACCTCCACCAACAAATTTGTCAGAAACGACCTGGAAGAAGTTCTGGAAAATCAAAATCCCGGCGAAGATCAGATGGCTAATTTGGAGGGCAGTTAACAATGTGCTGCCATCTCTCTGGGTAAGAGGAACATCATAAATCATATGGTTTGTTCAAGATATGGTTGCCCTGGGGAAGACGTAGATCATATTTTTTTAGAATGTGAAAACTCAAAGCGTGTTCGGAGACTCTCGCCGCCGGGTTTTGATTTCAACAGTGGCACTGCTGTGAGCTTTTGTGAATGGTTCAGTGATTGGATACTAACAGCACCAAGTCTGGAGCATTTGCAACTATGGCAAATGAGGAATGACGCGGTGTGGAATGGAAGATTACATGACCCATTTCAGGTACAGAATTGGGCGATAAAAGAACAACAATATTTTCATGAAATTTCGTCTCGTCTCAATAATGAGGATGACTCAAGAGATACATCGAGCTCAAGCATAGGTGGCTATAGTACAGAGATGCATTAGGCTACCACTGAGGCTCACACAGTAAGAATAGACGGGGCCTATAATGAAGGGACGAAGAGTGGAGTTACTGCCTGGGAAATCCTATCGCCAACAGGAAGATGAATAGCCTGTGGGGTAGAACCTCTGTATGCCTTCTCGGCGTTGCACGTAGAAGCTCTAGCTTGCCTGAAGGGGCTATAGACAGCCAAGGTCCTGAACTTACAAAACTGCATCGTTCAAATGGACAACATTACTCTTGCACTGCTGAACTCTCGGGACAAAATCCTACCGCAACCTTTGACCTCCCTGGGGGAAGATATTCAAGCTTTAGTCTTAAGTTTAGAGAATTGTTCTATTTCCAAAGTACAAAGAGCCTTTGTGAAAAACTCGCATAGGATGGCTAGAGCGAGTCTCCAACAAGGTTTTTCAGCTTATGCAATTTTGAACAATCAATGAATCTAATCTAAGTTTTTATTTCAAAAAAAAAAAAAAGGTCAAAAGTTCTGAGAAGAAAAAAGAAGACAACATTTGCTTATAGATACACAAAAAAAATAAAAAATAAGAACAAATTTATGGTTACTCAACTCGAAAAATTATTCAGCCTCCTATTCTTTTTGTAAATTTAAAGCGGGATATCATTGAATTTCACTAATCTTTAAGGGACAAGATAACTTAACCAATCCAAATTTAAATGATTTTTACACAATTACACTAAGTTTTATTTTGAGAATTTATTAGAAAATTACATCTAAGATTTTTGATGATGTGACACTCTAGGGATAAATATTGTTTCCTCTCTCTAGTTTCTCTCTTAGAATATACTAAAGATAGATAAGATATATATATATATATATATATATGAAAATTCTATAGTCCAGTCGATGATTTATAACTACACCATTCAGTTAAACTTTATCCAATAAAAGTTGGACACACCATACGTAATTATGAGGCTTGCAACACCATAACAAAACTTTATTTCTTGTTCATCCTTTCCTTTTTATTTTTAGTTTTTTGTTTTTTCCAAAGAGGCCTTGTGATTATATTAATGCCTAGACACGGTAGCCTAAGGTGGGCACAGTTTGTTCAATCCAATCCTGCATTGTCAAAAACTACAGTAAAATAGCCACCTTCCTCAAGATCAAAACGAAGCAAGAAATCATTGTATTAATTGATGAATATTTATCATCACCATTAAAACTACAGTAGATGCAGATTGATGGTGATCGCCATTGTGGTAATAGTAATTAACCAGGGTAATTGTCAGTACTCGTATAGGAATAAGGATGGTGAATAGGAGGGTCACAGTTTTAGTAGTAACCAATGCTTAAAGGAACAAACCCTAAATTTTTAGCCCCATTTCCATGAAACCAGCAAGATTCATTATTATAATTGATGTTATGTTATGGATTTCCTTCTTTTTCCTCTCCTGGATTAACATTTTCAGCAGCACCACCGAATTGAGCATTATCACCAAGATTGCATATAAGAAAATCAAGAAGGCTGGTGGTGTCGTCGTTCTGCTTAGTTCGTTTCTATTGCTTTAAATTTCCCAAAAAAAAAAAAAGGACTTATCTCTGTTTCGATGTTCGATATATATATTTTTTCATTGGAACTATTAATGATATTAAAACACTAGCAGGTTTTAGTAATCTCTTCCAATTTGATATGGGATTGAATTGATCCAACCATTGACTCACCAGGCATCATTTTGTGATGATGATGACCCACAAGAAGAGATGAAGAACCTGATTGATGAAAAACCAGGAGTTCAGAGAGAACTTCTCAGAAAAAAGGAGTTCAGAGAGAAATGTCATATTCAGCATCTCTTCATATTTTGAGGAGTTACAAAAGCCCGCGGAAGCAACTTGAGGCGGAATAAAAAACTAGAAATCATGATGTTTAGAAACCAATTTTTCGGGCGAAGATAATGCAACCGTATTACTAGCTAGTAGAAGTGCAGTTATCGGGTGGAGTGTGGTGTTTTCTAATTTTAGAATATCTTATTTTAATTTAATGGTTAGTATTAATCAAAATCATCTAACGGCTAAAAATGTTAACTGAAGTATCCAGTCGACTGGACCGTAGTCGCTCCCATATATATATATCTTGTAAAGTAAGAGTAAATTACGTTATAAGAATTTTTCTGATGATTGAATTAAGATGCAAATCAGATTCCTGCTACATGAATTTACAAAAAAGATTACAAATAGTATGATCCAAAAACTCAGAGCTCGATGATTCTATGGGGAAGTTTAATGGTTCCCTTGGTCAATGGTGATGGCAGAACAAAGCTTTCTCCACCTAAATTGCTGTCGCTCGATTCAAGTGCTCGGGATGCTTGCAAAGCCATCTCAGAGTGCAGTTGCAAGCAAGTCATGGCAAGCTGAAAATGAAAAGTCGAAACCCTAGTAAGTCACTAATCATCGCAAAGAAATATCAAAACCATCTACCAATTTCTCATACTAGGTGATGACATATCACTTTCAGATGCGAAATGTTTAGAACAATATGAATCAATTCCTGCTTAATGAGTTAACGCTTCGATCCTATGGTCTCAAACACATTACATGCAAAGAAACTTTAGCAGAAACTCATGTCCAAGCACGGGGAAAGAGTCCATGATAAGAAAAAATGTGTCATAAAGTATTCACCACACCATACAACAATGGTAAATAAGATGGAGTTCCAGAAAACGGCAGGTAAAATGCCTATATATGCATGGCGAGGGAGCGAGAAGCATGTTACTTTGTCTTTTTAAGATTTCAAGTTTCGTGCTTACCTCATAACAATCTCTATCAGAGTCTTCTTCGGCTATTTGATGCGCCCACGTGCGAATCCACTCAAGTCCTTTAGGAATGTCATCATTTCCCGTGGCCAATGCTGATGCCACATAAGAGGGATGAAGGGCCACCAATATACACGAAGCTGCAAAAAGAGCAGATCTTCTAACAAAGGCTTCTGAGTGATGGGATATCTCCCTGTAAAACATAGAAAGAAAGATTCTCAATTTAGATCGTAACCATAATTCATTATTCCTATTTTCCCCTTTCAAGGATAACTACAGTAGGAAATGACATCTCTCAGATAAACTATTAGAGAATCCAGAATTCTGGCTCTTATAACAGCAAATGACACACAGGTTTGCATCCATATGATATGTATCCTAGTTCATGATTCCTTGTAGATAGATCATCAAGAAACTAGGTCGAGCCTTAAATGCCATCAACATTAGAAATCAAGAGCTAGGCAAGCCATTAAAAAACCCTGTACCTGATGCTCAACATGTCCAAGAGAGGGGATGCCAAGACAGATGCTTCCGGATGCATGGCAGCACATTTTATACACACACCAAGCATGTAGATAAGTTTCCCCAGGACTAGAAAATCCCTTCCAAGTAAATCCACTCCATGCCTTTTCTTATCAAATCCCTGCATGGCTGGCAGCATAAATGCAGCTGCATACTGGGGGAAGCCATTCTGGGACCATTCCGGCTGGTTTCCTTTTGAAGCTGACCGTGTGCTCCAGCGACGTGTTTTGCCTCTTCTGACCTCAGCATGTTTAAGAGGAAGTGTTCTCTCATAGGAATATGACCAATTCAAGGGAGTTCCCACTCTTGCGACCTCCTTCCAGGAACTTGCTCCAGGAGGCCCTATGCTTCTTGGAATAAACCATGCCTGTTCTGATGCAGATGTTATGAGTTCCCTTGGCTTATGTTCTGGTTTTAGGATCCTGGTACTTGCTAGCTCTTGTGCTGCTTCTGTCATAACATCAAGAATCATGATACGTTGGCTAACATCTACAGTAGGAGAATACAGCAACTTTTGTAGGGCCTCCAGTGATTCAAGTGGACAGGTGACAATCAGTGCAATCAGTGTCTTTTGACGTTTCTCTTCAGCTGACTCTTCTTCCCCTTCAGCAGCTAAGTCAGAACAACGCACTTGAATCAGAGTTCTCACCATATCACTCGCCACATACTTGAGTTCATCTGGTGATGCTCGAACAAGCTTTTCAGCAACATCGAGAGCCCCTTCCACCTGTATTAAAGAGAATTAGAGAAGTGGCTTTCCCAGTGGCACACTTTTGTAAGTATTGTGTAGACTGCATTTCAATAATGGGAGGCAAAAAAAAAAAAAACTCCAAACAAATTCATATTACAAAGGACCAAAAAACAACTGGAACCGTTGTTTGACAGAAAAGTATGGGAAGTAATACCAACATGTTAGAAATGCAAAGAAAGTTCTCAAAAAGATCTAGAACTCCTTTAGATTTCACGATTCACTGTACACAGTTCAATTCCAAATGTTCAATGCTCATAAATTATTAAGAGAATTTAGGGAATTAGGAGTACTCACACCATCAATATCATCAGATTTCCTCAGTGCACCAACCACATCAGCCAACTGTGAAAATCTCCTTTTCAAATCTGTATTATCATCCGTCAAGTCATATGGCTGCAGTGATGAGTCACTTGAAGTATCACTATCCTCACTAGCCAAATCATCCTGTTCCGCGTCAGAGGTCATCTCACCATTTAGTCCTGCCGGATCAATGACCTCATCCGGATCAACTAACTTATATTCAGAAGTTTTCTTCTTTGTACTTTCCACGTTGTGGCCCGCTCCAAAATCTTCTTTTCCCTTAGGTACCTTTGCTGGTACCACAGCTGAACTATTGATTTGGTTCTCACCTTTTTCTTGGTAATCCGGTCTACCCTCCAATCGTTTATCAGGTTTCACTAAACCAAACCCCCAATCTATGTCCTCATCATGGCAGCTATCATCCAGATACAGAGGATTTTGGGGATCAATTACTTTAGAGAATACCAAAGCAATGCTGCTAGCCATTTTACGGATCAAATGATCAGGACTCTCCAGCCTACCTGGTAAATTGTCGAAAAGAAAGTTTGTGTCACTAAAAATAGATAAAAACATAACATAGCTAAGTAGGGTAATTTTTTTACATGAAACTCCTTGAAGAATTGAATGAATGGCATCCTTGGTAGCATCTAAATCTTCTTTTGACATCTTCTCTAGGCAAAGGCCTAAGGCTGCGGTTACATCTGAATCTCAAATTAAGGAACGAGAGAGAGGGGGAGAGAGAGAGAGAGAAGAGAACATAAAAAAAAAAACCGAGATATTCGAACTAAAATAAATTTCTATTATCACGAGGACACAGGCATAATTTATGCTGGATAAAACAGTTCAATTCTTCAAAGAGCAATGTACATAAATGAAGAATGCTTTACAAATTGAGAGATTAGTTCATAGAGTAAATTATCTCATGACCACATAAGCTAACTGCAAGAAGTGAATCTCAGCAGTTACTTGGCATTGTGTAACTTGTGTTTTCTCAAACTGTGACAATAGCATTGACGAAATGGCAAAGGATACAAGTTTGTTGCTCAAGCTTTGTTGATTGCACAAATTCTTGCTTTGACCAGACTAAAACAAGGCGTTGCACTGTGTCAAAGAGGTAATGAGAATCATGGTGTTTACTACCCAGAGTAGAGTCAGGTGAACATTCAAAAACAGCCAGATGAAGGATCCATCTCAGACAACAAAAAGGAAATACTTTCCAGAGCAGAAATCTTTCCACAAACATAGACCTGAGAAGAAGCCAACCAAAAAAATATTGGAGTATAGGATGTAAAATCATCATCTCTTTACACATAAGAAAAGAATAGAAAAAAAAAGATGTGTCCATATTTCAGTACAGTCATGTCTTGATGTTCCTCCAATTACATGCAGTGCAATAAAATAAGAAGAGTATGCACCTGGATAGGTTGACGATTAACTTTCAAGATGTTGGGTTTTAAGCTATCACCCATTTCAGAGTTTAGTTTGAATAACAGTTGCCGGTTGTTGGAACTAACACAGATATGTAAAGAAGAAGAAAAAGCTGTAAATACCTGATTGACTTCTGCTGCTTAAAACTAGGGTAAAAAAATGTCCACAGAATCCAGTAAGCCTCAACATCAGTTACATCTTCGGCTGCTAACTGTTGTAAGAGCTGTTCTGACATTCTTTCTATAGCATAAGAATCCTTAAGTCCCTCTATGAGTTTCGACCAAAACCTGAAACCAGGTTTTAACTTGCTAGCTTCAGGAACAGTCATATCCGCAGTTCCAGACAAAAAAATCTTTACTTGACAATGTAGTCGAGGAATTAGTTCACTCAGTAGCACATCTGGCAAAAGTAAAGATTCATTCTAAGTTTGCTTCATATTGGTGACCATAAATAGTAAATTAATCACGGAAATGGAATCCACAACATCCACGTTTGAAAAATTTAACATTACCAGCTGATCCCCGTCGACAAATGCGAGCAAATGTTTCCCCAACAAGAAGGATGGTACCTTTTTTATCAATTTCCTTGAGACTGTCTGCACCCTCAGGTAGTGTTTTGTCCCATTCTTCGGCTCCAGTTAGGAGTTGAGCAGCAATACTCTTGAAAAACAAACTAATAACATTCAAGTAAAGGAAATTCACCTTAAAAAGCCACAAGACTTCAAATAAGCTGAGTAAGCATTAACATTCTATTTTTATCTCATTTGTTTATTTTTCTCTGAATTTAATTTCATTTTCAACGAACGTAAAAGGGTGAGTGCTAGATACACCAGGTGACCACTCTTTGAACCAGATCTTGAACAACAATAATCATACTGCCAACCTAGAACATATACAGTCTGTTCTTCCTCTTTATATATCACCTTCCTCTCTATTAATTTTCAGCTTAGGCCAGTGATGTCCAGAATTCAACCCTGGATGCCAACTGACCTATAAAACATTATTTTTCTTTTCTTTTTTTTTTTTAAAATTAAAAAAGCTATAAAAGAGGAAAAGAGGGAAGGCTGGTTAAGGTGAAGTTTGGTTTTTGGATGCCACTTGGCATACCAACAAAAATTGAAATGTAGTCTTTGGCTTATGTTTCAAACACTTCTTCCTAAATCGTTATAGAGTGGAGCATGTAAAGCTTTCAATTTCCCCAATGCCAATTCACAGATTGAGTAGACCCCAAGTGCATTATAGACGAGAAGCAACAGCTGAGAAAATAAAACAAGGATACTGTGCTGAAAGCTGATTAGATGGTCCAGGTCGAGCTTTGTCGGGAATAGAAGATAGAAGTTGAGCAACCAAAGAAACATCCTGCCTGAGTTTCTGACCAGTAAGCTCCTCATCTAAAGAAAATTCTAGAGCTAATTGTAACACTCCATCATTTTGAAGCAAACAGAGGACCAGCAATCTGTCATATGAGACAACCAAAATGCTTTCAGATATACTTTCCCTAATTCTGTCACATGCAGATGGAATCAGGAAATATCTTATATTGACATTAGAAGACGAAATTAAAGATACAATGGTACCCGCTGGCACAGACACATCTAACAGATAGATTTCACACATATACAGATGTTTCTGGACAGTATTTTTTTTATACAAATATTCTATCTGCCAACTTAGCATCTTTAGTCTTGGAACTGTAACTTCATCTAGAATCTCCTACTTTAACAGAGTTCCAATATAACTATATCCATTATCAACAGTTATCCCTTTCTTAGACTACTCTTTGATTTTGCCTTCCTATGTTCTGAGTAAAGAATAAAAACCTAGCAGTTAGAGGTTTCGGATGCTAACTAAATCAAATACTCAGCTCCTAGTATACTACAACTGTCTTTTACATTAAGGAGAAAAGTAGATGCATCTGCAACCATTTCTCTCTCTCTCTCTCTCTCTCTCTCTCTCTACCATTTGCTACCAATTCAAATGATTCCTGTATGAAATGGTCCTACCAATCTGTACTTGTGCAGGCATCATGCATAAATTTAAAGAACATAATGAACGAAGAATTTGAAATAGACACTGCACAAAATTATTATCCAAGTATGAACGATCTGTAAGAGAGTACAGGGGAAACAATATCTCAGGCAAGGATGAACTTGGCTACCGTGACGGGAGGGTAAGCTAGGTGTGGAAACAAATTTCGTCCAAAGTTTCCAGAAAGTATGTTTACACATCCTAAAATCATTATATGTACCTTTAACAGAGGCATATTGGATGATTTCACATGTTCCAGGATTGTGACTTAAATCCATTCAGCCTCATGAGCTTAAATTCCTCAGCAATAGATAGCACAAAAGGGTAGTCATAGAGCGTCTTTACTATTGTTCGATACTAATCAATAACGTTGGTTAAACTATCATCGCAGAAATTCTATGAATACCTTTCTGCATTCGAATATACAGCATTGACATCATAACTGGTATGCCCTCCTCTATGCTGGAGACAGGGAACTATTGTTTGAACAACTTCAGTTAAATGACCCTTCATAAAAAAAACATCATATACACTTTTCCTCGCAGAAATGGGAAAACAAGCAAGCCAATCAGACGCAACATCTGCAGTAGAAATTAGTTGACATCAGATAATCGAACGAACTGAAACGGAAAAACTTTGATATCGCAATATCAGAGAACTTAAAAATCATGATTTGGTTCACTACCGTATAATAGAATTCGAGCAAATGCTGGAAATCCAGCTCCCTTATAGAACGCATTCCACCATTCATTCCTCTCATTTTCGCTCAGTACCTTCAGATTCCTCACCTAAATCACAATTTTAACCTATAAGAAAAACTCACCAAACAACAAGCTACAAATTTTCAATTATGCAAGAAAATACTAAAATAAACAAATAAAAATTTCACCTCATCTTTGTAATTCTCACTTATACTACCTGAGAAATTCCAGAGAGCAACATTTTAATAATGAAGAAAAAAAGAAAAAAAAAAAGAAAAGGCAAATTAATCATTAGTCCGATCATAACTGAGGTTTACCGATGAAAGAGAGGGAGTCGATGGGGAAGAGAAGGGCGGCGAGGGAATAAACGGCGGAGATGACTTGGTCCACGTGTTTGGAGGCGTTAATGGAAGTGATGACGTCGCCCACCTTCTGCACCACTGCTTTCTCCACCACCTCCGCCATTCTTCTGATTCCTTCCTTCCTCTTCTTCTTCGCGCTCTGAATTCATATGCTTAAAACGGGTCTTTTCAGTTATTTATATCCAAGTCCGATTCGTAATCCGACCCGATCGCAGTGGAGAAAATTACAGATTGATATATCATTTTAGTCCCCAAATTATTGCCAAAATAGATAATTAATGTTTTCAACTCACAAAAATTATTTTAAGAAGTAAAAGGGGAATTTCTTATTAAGGGCGTGACACCTTTCATAATTCCATATGAGGGTGTGAAATTTTTGGACAATTACAATTTTGCCACTGAACTCCTTCTACCTTTCTTCTTCTCCTTCCTCATTTCTTCTTCTTCTTCCCCTTTCATTCTTTTTCAACTTCTTTTTCTCCCTTTTCTTTTCAAACTTGAAATCCAGATTTAATAAGAATCGAACTCTAAATAAATGGCGGAATGCCACAAACAATAACGGGAAAGTTCACCGTCGATGCCGATAAGTTTTTTTTTTTCGAAATTTTATTTAAAAAAATTTGAAAAAAACCTTACTGCCAAGCGGGCTTGGGCCGGCCAGTCTGGGCGTTTTTCTTTTTTTTTTTTCAATTTTTTTTTGTGGTTTTTTGTTTTAATTTTTGTTATTGTAATTACTTTAGTTAAATTTATTTATAATTAATGTAATTAGTTATTGAATGTAGTATTATTAGTTGTAATTAATTTAATTAGATTTGTATTAATTTATATTTGAATCATTATAAATAGGAAGAAATGTAATTAGATTTTAGTTAATTTAATTAGATTCCAATAAGATGGAGAAATTTAATATGTATAATTAATTTAATTGAATTTATTTTAATTTATATTTGAATCTTTATTTTAATAGAATATTTATATATAATATTTAATGTAGGTGAAAAGGACAAATTAATTGGATATAATTCATTTAATTGAATTTATTTTAGTTTCTATTTTGATTATTGTAATGGAGGAGGTATATATATATATACATTAATGTAGGTTCAAAGGAGAAAAAAGAAAAGGCCAATGGTACCTGATTCTTCATTGTTGGTTGCATCGGGTACACGGGACGTGCATGGTCGAGTTATTTCTGCCTCTGCACGTCGTGGGAGTCCAAGTGAGCATAAGTCACAAGGTCAGTCACATATGGGTCAGGCCGGTAGTAGTGTGAGACTTGACGATGTATTTGATCATGCCAGTTGTGACCAACAGGATGTGAGTGACAATGATGATATCCCGACTGAAGATATCGACTCGGAAGGGTTTAATGATTTCGGAAGTGACTCACCTCCACATTTACCTCGACATTCACCTCCACATTCACTTCCACATTCACCTCCAGCTAGACGAAGCAATGTTATCCGTCTTAGGGTTAGAGGACTTGGAGCTGCATCTGTATCCGCATCATCATCAGCAGGTAAAAAATTAGTGTATGGGGTTTATATTTTACATTTTAGTAGTTAAGTTTTTCAAATATTTGATCGGGAAAAAATTGAATGATTTGTTTATGTTAATTTCAGCGAGTAATACCCAGCCTTGGGTTGTCACAGGACCAGTTGTTGGTGGCCCTCATGACGGTTCTGTTATTCCCAGTTTTCTTGGTCATATGGCCCATCGCTTGGCTAAGTCGTGCAAACCTTCGTTAGAGATGGATACAACAATCATATACTTCAATTTGTTGAAAGAATGGAAGGGTTCTATGTCGACTAAGGCTCAGATCTTGTTGGCTGGTAGAGGGTTATCCCACATCGTGGACATCATACACACCAACATTGATAAGGCATTGCTTATAGCATTTGCAAAGAGGTGGCAGCCGCACACCAACACGTTTCACATGCCTTTTGGGGAGATGACCATCATGTTACACAATGTGCGACAGTGCGACAGATATTGGGTATTTTCGTTGAAGGTAAATTGATTATAACACAATCTGGGACTGTCGATTGTGAGACTTTGGTCATGACGGTGCTGAGAATGACTAGCCAGACGTTGCAGACTAGTAAAGTAATCCACGGTGGAGGGGTTCAGTCGGGCTTTGTTGCAAAGAAAGGCTGAGCGGTAGCGTCTGCTGTAGATCAGGCGACCGCCTGGTTATGGGTCATGTTAGGGGACACGTTGTTTACCGATAGGTGCGGGACTCAGATTAGAGCGGCGATCCTCTCCGAGTTTATTGATGGCCTAGTCACCTGTGGCAATATTTCTTGGGGGTCTGCTACTCCAGCCTATCTCTACCGTCAGCTAGGCGTGTCCACTAGATTGAAAAATGCCTCAATGTCTGGTTGCTACACACTACTTTAGGCATGGATATATGTGTACTTTTCATGTTTTAGACCACCTCAGGGGGGTCCCGATGAGGCTCCTGACCGGCCCTGAGCTGGATGGTGGAATGTCCCAAATCCTGATAATAGGCCAGATCGTCTGGTGAAGCTTCGCCGCCAGATCGGCAAGCTGACACCTGATCAAGTACGTCACTTTTTGCACTTTTAATTAATAATAGTTATGCAAAATAATGTTGTTAACATATCTTATATCTTTTGTGTAGGTTGAATGGTTGCCTTATGTCCCCACTCCTATTTGCGATGATCCGAGGACCATATACACTGGTTGGATATAGTACCGAGATATTATTGAGCAATACTTTCCTAATCAAGTATTGCGGAAGATATCCAGATCATCCCTCCACCTAATCCTCATTTAATAATAGTTATGCAAAATAATGTTGTTAACATATCTTATATCTTTTGTGTAGGTTGAATGGTTGCCTTATGTCCCCACTCCTATTTGCGATGATCCGAGGACCATATACACTGGTTGGATATAGTACCGAGATATTATTGAGCAATACTTTCCTAATCGAGTATTGCGGAAGATATCCAGGTCATCCCTCCACCTAATCCTCATCCCCTAAGTGCGGATCGTAGTGGTAATCACCTATCCTACAAGGTTTTATGGACTCCCACTATGGCATTAGATGCTTGGATGCAATTCCTATTCAGTTCCATGCTGGATCTAGAGTTGTTTCACTGGAGTGATGATGATCAAACTACACTAATTACCTCCAGTGGTACTATCGATATTCGCATCCTCTCTTGGTTTCAAATGCCACTACAATAGAAAAACTGCAGCATTCCATTTAGTAGCAATGGCGTACAAGTCTTGTGTGCATTCCATATAATGGGGCCTTCGGCATCCACCTACCAGCCACCTTAACCGTCGTATGTTTTGTTCCCTTTCAAAGTAATACGGAGGATCATATAACATATACAGAGATCTTGAATAATGGTTGCTCGGACCCACGGCCATTCTTCTTCTGAATTTCGAACATACTCTGCTATACATCGGAACCCACAGTTCCCATCTCCCCTCACATCAAGGTACCCCCGAATGAAGGAAACTATAAAAGACGAAATAGATTGCCGAAAGTGATATGAATGAAAATCCGTCCTCCAACCTCTTTGCTTACCTAAAGAAAAACAATATTCACGTTATGTACATTGTCATTGTAAATGTTTAAAAATAAAATGTGAAATAAAAAAAAAAAATTCAAAACATTCTTACGACTATCATCGTATGTAGGCGAGGATGTGCTCATGCGAGATCTCCCTAAACCAACAATATACTTCTTCCAATAACACCGTTTCCACAGGATATTCGCTTTTGGGCGCCCTTTAACACTCGTCTTCACTGCAGGTTCCTCGAAGCTCATCTAACCATGGTGTTGCTCTTGTTCCTCGAAACTCATCTGCTCATGGTGTTCCTCTTCTTCCAGCTCATGGTACAGAAACACCTTGACGCGGGTCAAAAATTCGCCTTAAGGGAAAACTATGTAGAAATTGTATGCTCCTCTGACACAAAAGGTTGGGCATCATCACTTGGGACCGAATCATGTGTCACACTTGTAAAATTAAGTCTGCTCCAAAAAGGGTGAAGGTCGGCAACTGTAATGAGCACCTACGACTCCCTTTTCTGTTTAAGCTCACATGCACAGGGGATTCCATGGGTCGTTCTCAATACACAACCACAAACTTCATTGGTAATATAAGAACATTGGTAATTAAGTATCAAAAACACATCTGTTGATGTGCCACACGCACAAAAGATGTGCAGAATCTGGAAATATCAAACTAATTGGTTCTGCCAGCCCTAATTCCCTGTCTGTCACTATGGCATATGGGTGCACCTCCCATCCAATCATGTTCCGAAGCTGCTGACATGTCCAAGTATAACTATCCTTCTTCTCATCCTTCATAATTACGTATCCAATCAAAAAATTCTTGTTGGTTGGAGTCATCCCAATAATTTGTAACAGCGACATATTATACCTGTTTGTTTTATAAGTAGTATCCATGCCAATACACCACGGGTATGCTCAGATCAATTCTACAGATATTGGATGTGCACAGAAAATATGATTCAACATACCTTTTTCATCAGCCGTAGTAATCACATACTTGTGTTGCTGAGTAATGTTAAAGAAGTGATCCACCAACGTTTTACCCTTCCTCTTTTCCACATGCATCCTACTCTTGTAGTTGTATATCTGTTTGATCACAACATGCTCGTTCAGGCATTTATGCTGAATTGCCTGCAGCTTTGAGACGGTTTTACATTAATGGCAGTCAAATTGTCAATAATCTCCTTTGATTTATCACTAAAAGCGCTCATCTGCATCTGTCCCTCCTCGAAGCTGCCAAACGGGTGGTTATGCGTACCTTTACGACCGGGATATGAATGAATCCCAAAAGAAGATTCGCCTGGGCGAATTTGGGCTAGAAGCTGGAACGGGCATCTCCAATACTGCGCCTTTGTTTTTCGCACCCGATTCTCTGTATCTTTAGGAGAAACACCCTTTGGACTTCGTAATAATTTCTTAGTCTCATCTGCCTTTGACGCCTTAACCACTGTGAAATTAAGAGATATCACAGTCTTTTTCGCCCATTCTACAGCGGCTTCAATAGTTGCGAATCTTAGTTAGTATTGAAATGATGACTGTAATCAACACCGTCACCACCATAATCCTGTAAATGAAATATATCAAATTTAAAAAAATACAATATACATAACAAAATAACTAATTCCTTTACGTAAACAATAATTATTAAAGTCTATAAATTAATACTACCTAAATACCACATACAAATATAAATTTAATCAAATTAAACAAATATATACCACATATTTAATCTACACTAATTATTAAATTAAATAAATTATACCTAATAAATTAAATTAAACATGTTACTAAAGCACAAAAAAAAACTAAATGACATATAAAACATAATAACACAACATTCAACAACTAATTATATTAATTATAAATAAATTTAATTAAATTAATCAGACAATAATACAACAACTAATTACATTAATTATAAATAAATTTAACTAAATTAATTATAACAAAAAATATTACAACAAAAAAATTTAAAAAAATCACAAAAAAATTTGAAAAAAAAAAACTGCCCAGGATGGCCGTCCTGACCGCCGGCCAACCCGAGAACCTTGGCCGGATTTCTCACCGGCCAAAGGTGGAGGATCGGTCACTATTCAAGGATTGGCCGGTCCCTGACCAGGCCAATCCTCCACCTTTGGCCGGTGAGAAATCCGGCCAAGGTTCTCGGGTTGGCCGGTGGTCGAGTCGGCCAGCCTGGGCAGTCTCTTTTTTTTTTCAATTTTTTTTAAAAATAGAATTTGGTAAAAAAAATTTATCGGCGTCGAAGATGTTCCTTCCCGTTATTATGTGTCTTGTTCCGCCATTTTTTAAACTTTGATTTGTAGTAGATCTAGATTTAAAATGTGATAAAAAGCAAGAAGAAGATAAAGTTAGAGAAAGAGGAAAATAGAAAGAAGAAGAAGAAATGAGGAAGGAGAAGAAGAAAGGAGAAAGAGAAAGAGAAAGAGTTCATGGGCAAAATTGTATTTCTGAACTGCAAAAAATAACACCCTTAATTGCTTTAATACACTAAACATACTTTCTTGACATCTCTACCTTTTTGTGCACTAATTAATTATATATTTTGCTTATGTCATTGACAAAATATTATACTTGTTATATTGAATTTTTTAAAATTTTTTGTCTTGAAAAATCTATCAAACTCAAAGTAAAATTTATATCACTTTAATTTGACATACAGGATTTGTTGTAATTTAGATCCAACACTCAAAGGCAAAAAAAACATGAAAGTACAGCATATTTCGGTGATTTTTGAAAATAAAAAGATGCCAAATATACTTCCTTTATTATTTATTTTATTTTATTTTAAATAAGTTTTCCTTGCGGCTTGATTATACATTCCATGCGAAGTCTATGAATTTTTTTTTTTTTAATTTATGTTTTTAATCGCTAAGATGAAAAGATAAATTTTTATTTAACATTATTTTCATCATTCATGTGTAGAAAAATTGTGATGATTTGATGGATTAGTTCTTTATAATCAATTTTAAGAATATCATAAAATGAAAATTTTAAAATTTACGTTTTTAGTATATGGTATTATTAAATTTCATGACTTTTTGAGGAGAGTTCTATAGGTGTCAATTTCAAATAAGAATTAATAAAATTTCTTTCCTTTTAAAAGTATGGTGAAAAATAATAATGTGAGTTACTAATTAAAAGGATAAAAATATCATCAAAAGTGCATTTAGTGCATTAAGCATTCATTACGCCCTTATATGAATTTTTAAAATTTGACGCCTTTAACGAGAATAATAAAAGGTGCAACGCCCAAGATATAAGAATTTTCCCGAAATAAAATTATGATTTATTTTGTGCATGTAGGGTCTTGATTTCTACTAATGAGTGAAGCGAAATACTTCCCAAGATATAATTAGAGTAGGCCGTAATAGTGTTATACAAAATTAAGTTAAAGTATATTATTTAGAAGTCTTATTATCCACCAAACTTTGTAAATTTCTTTAATAAATTCTATCTCTTGTGTAACAGCTAGCTAGTCTCAGCTAGTATACTACAGTTACTGTAGCATTTCATCTACTCTCATTTTCTTATCAAGCTATAAAGAGGTCCAAACTATAATATGATTTTTTTGTATTATTACGTACAGAAAAAGATTACTTATGCTAAAATAGTACTCTTTTCAACCTAATTTAGTAGTCCATTTTATTATTCTATTTTAATTAAAAAAATAGACTACTAAAAATAAGACGGACGGGACGAGTATTAGTTGGGAGCCAATAAAATAATCCATTCAGCTTGCCTCTAAATTCCATTGTAAGTAACTTTACATGGTTTTCCAGGTGTTCAACCTCAATCAAAAGTTACATTTTTTTTGAAGAAAAAAGTTACATTTGTGAAATGAGAAAGCACAATTGTTGGTTTCTTTTAATGTACAAACATCCAAGGAAGAACCCTAGAAGGAAAAACTACTACTCTCTTGTCCGAATAGCACAGGAAAACTGCCTGCTTGTGAATGCGTCCAACTCTTTTGCAGCTTCCTTTCCAACCACCAGGAATACTGATACATCTTCAAGATATGGAAGCAAATAACAAGGAAGAATTCGTTCCTCCAAAGCCGAAGGAGTTTGACATGGCTGCTCTAATATTCATCTCCTTTGAAGCTGTAAGAGGCATGAAATCTTCGGTAAATACTAGGTCTGGTTTGGTCAGGTTAAGTGTCGGGGGTGCAACGCCCTGCAAATGCCGAAACAGAAGAGACCATGATCAGTAACTTCTTAGAATTGACAAGTTGGGAACCGGTGTCCAAGAAAGTTCAGCCAACAAGAAAGGCTTCCGTAAAAGATGATGCTTCCAGATAGCAAATATCGTCTTTTAGAAACTAAAAACACTTGCTCAAAATCAAAACTTAACAGGCCTAACCAAGCATTGGTTCTGGTAAGATTTCAACACTCGCAATAAAAATCAATTGATGCAGAACAGTATTGCCAGCTAGACAAGATTTCAATCAATAATTCTCAAAGATTCCAGTTTCTTTTGCTTAAATCCACCCAATGACTTCGTCCAAAAAAAAATTCCCGGCCCTAACCGCCTTTTCCTTACTAAGAGTACCATCAGACACACAAAAGATAACGTAAATCATGTGGCAGGCACAAGAATCCTGAACAAGCCAGAACGAATTATAACATAAACACATTCCTGTGGGGATCATGAGATTATCACACAAAGAGCACAGTTCACTTAAAATCAAGAAGCAGAACTAGTATTTTCTTACATTTTGAATGGACAAAACAGTAAATATAGCTTCCACAGCGCCTGCTGCTCCAAGAAGATGGCCAATAGCACCCTGTCATGTTTTTTGTATGTTACTGATTTGAATCAGTACAAGAGAAAAAACATCAAAGTTACCATTGACACTAATGGCATTTGCGAATTTGCATCCTCAATAAGAATTATAAGATAGTGGTTGTTTAGATATATATATATGTGTGTGTGTGTGTGTGTGTGTGTGTGTGTGTGTGTGTGTGTGTGTGTGTGTGTGTGTGTGTGTGTGTGTGTGTGTGTGTGTGTGTAACAATTGAGCCATACAAGGAATATCAAAGGTGTAGATAGAAATGAAGTCCTCGAACAATTGACCCTCAGCCACCATGAAGATGCAAATTCGTAATGCCATAGCTCCCAAAGAGCCCGGCTTCTTATCCATTGCACAGGAAAATGTATGCTTATCATGCTCGCAATTACCTTGGTAGACGACAGGGCCAAAGCACCAGATGTTGCATGGCTAGAGAAAAGAGACTTTATTGCATTGGCTTCAATGGCATCACCTGTTTACATAATGCACAAATGAACAAACTCTAAAGTCTTATGGCATCTTTGAAGGATCAGGAAGTAGGTTCTATAAATGTTTACGAAAATTACCCAACATTGTTGACGTAGCATGGGCATTAATGTAATCCACTTGACAAGGATCCAGCCCCGACTGTCAAACATAGTAAAGGAAAGGATGATTACAATCTCATCAGCCATAATGTAATCTATTTGAGTAATTTGGCATACAAAACCAGATTTCAGGGCTTCTAAATAATTATACGTCAGAGATAAATGACCACACTTTCAAAGTTAAAGATGCCCAGGGACCATCCATGAAAAGTTGTAGTGGCGTCAATTATGCATCAATAAGTTTGTTATACACAGATTTTAAAAGAGGTGTGTGTATTGTTTACATTCAAGTCTTGTTGGCCTGTATGCACTACGGTCAAAGATGAAAATGACTTATAGTGGTTAGTTTATTTGGTAAGTAACATTCATTTTCCTTGCATATTGTACACTAGGTTCGAATAAAAGTTTCCTGATTTCATTGACTTCATTTACTGCCCTTTTCTTTTTCCAGATACTAAAGCTTTTATTGAGCAGAAAGACGGGAAAACATCAGAAATCCTTACCTGCTCTAAAGCGCGCATCATGGCTAAGGAGGCTCCTCTTCCATCAGCATGCGGTTGAGTAATGTGATGTGCATCGCCTGAACAAAGAAAAGATGGATCACAACCTGGAGAACATTAAAATTTTTTTGGGACATGCAAGTCAGCCATAATGGAATATTTTCGAGAGCTAAACCTGACATCCCATAACCACGCACTTCTGCATAAATTTTGGCTCCTCGCTTCTTCGCATGTTCTAGCTCCTTAACAGATAAGAAAGCAAATTAAGACGGAGCAACTGAAACCAACAAGAATGAACCACATTTCAGTGGTCAAGAGCTTCTGGAGGGGGGCTAAAGTTCAGAGCAAATTTTTATTTTAACGTATCCCAAGTATTAACCCAGATGAATTTTAGATGGTTCTCTTTAACTCTGTTTCAGTGAAGGGTGTGCTACTTCGTCTCTCCCTCACCAGTTATTTACAGTAATTGGTATCTACTTTGACATTGAAGCATATTCCAATCTTTATACTTCGCAGTATTATGGCAGTTCTGTTGAGTCACAGGAGTTTTTCTATAGAATAGAGAACACATGTGCAAAGCAAAAGAAGATACGGTCAAGGAAATAAGCCATAGAATACCAGTCTAAACAATTACCTATACACAGTACCTTAAATCTTTACTAGGTCAATGGTCAAAATGGCCAATTTAGCTGGTGGTGAGAATTAAGAAAACCAAACTTCTGATTGGATAAACTAAATTTTCATATGCATATAAAGATATAGACTCTCCTAAACATCTTTACTGCTTCTAATAGAAACCTTTTGTCCTTTTGGATTTGGTACAAAAGAATGGTGCTTCACCTCATAAACTTTTTTGAAATTTATCAATTAATTCCACAACATTCACATAAGATGCCATCTACAAAAGATCAAGTGCAGCTAAGTATCAATTGTTCATAAAACTATAAAAGTGTGTCTTCATTTAATATCACAAGTTTTCTTTTATTTATGAAATAGATTGGTACTACAAGCTCCAATGAAGCCTAATATTTATGTTAAACAACATTGGGCCAAGCTGGCAAATCAGTCACAAAAGAATATAATTGCATTATCACAGAGCAGAAAACTGCAGCACACATTACTCCAGTTAATACTTTTGAACAACTTTAAGTTATTGTCAGCCATTTATGCTTAATACTCTCACCCTTTAACTTCTGATCTCCATGCATATATTCTGCTATTGGGAACAAAAAGCTTCACCTCCAATCCTATTTCATCAAAATGTGGCTGGTGTCCCCAAAGATTTTCTAGTTAAAGAATCCAAGCATATCTTTATACAATTAAAGGTACATCAGCCCAAACTTACCTCCAAAACCAGCACACCAGCACCTTCTCCTATCCTGAATTAAGCCAAAAGGTTAGCAAATTTTGAAACAGTTGTATATTGAGTGAAATAGACAGGCAACTTACGCAAAAAACTCACACAAAACCATCCCGTTCGCAATCAAATGGTCTTGAAGCTTCCTCCGGGACCGAATTATATCTGGTGGACAAGGCCCTTGACCTGCACATAAAGTGAGTTCCATTTAATAACAGTATTTTCAATCCCACAGCCCCAAAACACACATATTTGCACAATAAAGGTAATGCTCATCCTCTGCTGAATTCATTCTGATACTGTTAACTAAACTTTTGTTAATCATTTGCTTGGTTTCTTTGATTTACACAAGCTAAGAAAACTTATTAAAGCTAATATTATATAAACCAATAGAATGATTATGCAGATAAATTGCTCAATATCATAGTGAAGTTATAAAATGGAGAAGTAGAATTTAAGCATTTAACTATAAATAGTATACTGGTTTTAAGTCATAAACAATAATACAAATTGATCTATACCGAGTTCTATATTATAGAGACACGGAAAAGTAAGAAGACTCATCTTCGATGAGGGAGGGAAATATCTAGCACATCTTGAAAAGAAACTTTTGAAACGATGTGACATTTAAATTTTAAGTGAAAATGTATCTTGATAGAACACAATGCGAATATTATATCTGCACACCACTGTATCGAACATAATCCCAGGCGAAGCAAACAAAACCAGATGCATCAATAACTCTCTGACAACAAAGAAGTATGAAAATACCCATGCCATGCCCCCAAGTATTCAGTCTCCGAAAATAGACCATATAGTTCCTGGCCTGGGAGTTAGCAATCACTACAGTAATTTTAAAAAACTTTTATAAATTACCTGCAAAATCCTGCTATTGATAAAGCATCAATACTAGCTTCAGTACCCCCTGCAACCATAACATCAGCATCCCCAAATTGAATCATCCTACAAGCATCACCGATCGAATGCGCCCCAGTAGCACAAGCTGTCACTGCAGCATGATTTGGCCCCTAGATTCAAAATTAGCACCAGAGTATGCAACTACGTCTAATTATGAGAAATGAAAAATACACCTTTTGAACAAGAGATGGGGATTGGGACCACACATTGCTGAAAGGAAATTCTTCATAACTACCTCTTTTTAAACCAAAAAAAAAGAAAAAGAAAAAAACAGAGAAGAGAAAAGACTTCACAACCAAAGATCATCACTTGTCATGCCATTTGTGTTGTTAATAGGGTCTGATTATGACCTCATATGGATTACTGAATCTGGAATAATTCACGACCAACAAAAAAGAACTTCATAAGCATGCAAACATTTTAGCAGGAATATAATCCTAGTGAGCAACAATATAAGATACAAATAAAATTTACAATGGCTTCCTTTTCTAAACCTTGCTTGTAATAAGATGTACACTGGGAGAGAAACATTAAAAAAATAGACTTCTTGTTCAATTTTAACATCCTTATACTAGCATGACATTACCACAGGTTTAACAATCATCAGCTAATCAAGGATCACATGGAAACTCAAATTCAAGTTAACAATAGCCAACTCATTAGAAAATTTTAGTAATCGCCCAAGTAATTTGACTCTCGTCTCAGAGGGAACTTGAATCTACCTGAAACCCATATGTCATGCTTACATGACCAGAAGCCATGTTGATGAGTATCCTCGGGATAAAAAAAGGACTCAGCCGGCGTAGACGCTTCATCAAAAAGGAAGTATCAGTTTAGCTAAACGACAAGCTCAAATTCTAGGCAATGAAATATATGCTTTGAACAGGACATTAAACCTTCTAACCTTCTCACAAATCAGCCTCGATGCGTCCAATATATCGCAAATGCTTCCTGTGCCAGCACCAATTGAGACACCCTAAAATATATGCATCTTAAATGAACAATACATGGATGCTAAAAGAATCAAACTCCATTGACACAAGTAAATCATACCGTCCTTTCCTTTTCACTTTGTTTATCTGGCAACCAATTTGCATCTTTAAGAGCCTCGTCTGCAGCACATAAAGCGTAGCCTATAAACCTTGCAATTGAGCGATGGTCCTGAAAACCAGAGATCAGTTAAAACATTTGTTTATCTGGAAACCAGAACTATCTCCCTGCCCAAAGGCCCAAACTATACCTGTGACCACATAGATAGAAGAGAATGAAGGTTGCAAGGATACCAAAAGGGAATATATTATGGAGGAATACCTTCTGTGCTAATCAATGATCTTTGATCTGTATAACTTTAACGTACCTAGCTAACCAAGCACATTCTCTTACATAATATAAGCCAAGTCCAGAAAATTGCCCGTCCAGTAGGGGAAATGGGGAATATAACCAATTATACATTTCTACTGGTTATTGAAGTGCGAACAAGTTGTAATAGTTTTCATACATAGATTGTCTTTGTTTCTAAATATTGAACCTTGGCTAAATTCAAATAGGATTTGTGATGCAGTAGCATATATTCAATCCAGATAATCATACTCTTGGTCAAACCACAAAATCCAATAAGCTTAATCTACTTGAGGAAGATTATTTTAGTTGCTCACTGATTCAATGAAATCAGAACCTCAAAGACTAACTACCTGGGAACTTAGCCACAATTGCTCATCAAATTCACCCAAGTTAGTCCCACAAGGCACTGTAGCAGCAACTTTGGATGGCAACTGTTCAAATGTGTGCAACTGTACTTCCCTCTGGAATCCCTCCATCTGCAAATCTTCAGGGGTTATTGACCTGACTCCGCATTTCCCTGCTAAGAGTTGCTTCCATGTCGTCTCAACACCACACCCCAAAGGTGTCACCATTCCTAAGCCTGAAGCAATCACAACCAAATATTCAGATTTAAATTCACCGAAGGCCAGATTACACTTGTTATATTCAGTTACATTACAAAAATAGACATGCGTAACATGATCTTTACAGAGGAATGTAAATGCCGCACCCTTGGTTGTGAAAAATACTCATTTGTCAGAATCAAACCAATGATGGGAAACATCCCTATTGACCAATAAGTAGAAAACGAAGATATTTTATCTCGTAGGATTCTATCATAGTAGCCTTCCCCCGTGTAGTACAACTCACAAATTACAGCATACTTTATGATTCCAACAAGTTTAATCATTCTCTCATTTGCTTCTTAACTAAATAAACAACAATCTCAACAACAGCATACTTTATGATTCCAACAAGTTTAATCATCACCATGAACCAGAACAAACTTCATTTCTTTTGTCTACCCTTTGAACTATCTTTTACCCAGAATATTTTCTAGCAAAACATTCACTTACTCGCACTACCTAAAGCAAATAACAAAACTTTATCCTCAAAAGGTAAAGGGAACCAAAAGCCCTTCACGCCACATTTTCTAACTCCATAGAAAAATCAAGAAAAAAAATAAAATAAAAGGAGAAGCTTGTATACCAGTAACAACAACTCTTCGGAAAGGCCTCGATGGAGGAGGCCCAAAAGCTGCAGAGGTAGAGAAAAGCCGATTGAGCACCTGTCGTTGCCGCCTCATTCTTCTCGTTTGACGAAAACAATTACGAAATCCCCACATTTCTCCTATTGTTTTTTCTGGGTTTGATTCAAAACAAAATTGAATAAGGTCTCTTGTTGATGGGTTCTCTACTTTGTAATCAAGCGTCCTTCAATCATCAAGTTATTGCGTCTCCGGAGGTTATCGAGCAAAAGGGGTTTAGTTTGAAATAGTGCTAAAACCCCCAGAGCTTATCTCGATTGGGATTTAAAATGGACATGTGAATGGACAAAATGGTCCTCCAGAAATATTTCTCATTTAACTTGTGAATAAGATCGAGCTCACAAATGTAGGGGAAAAAAATCTCCTTCAATTCATCAGTATTCTACTAGATGTTTGTAAGACCATTTAAGGTTTGTAATTAACATGGTTGGTTTAGATCATTATATGTCGACACCAATAAGCTAAAAAAAAAAAAATACACTTATTAGAATAAAGAAAGAAAATTTTTATATACGCATGTAAATTTATAAATTATGAATAAATTATGCACCGAGCAACTATAATATTTATATATTTCTTTTTCTAATTTTGTTAGTGGTACATTACACCCACATTAAACTCACTCCTTCATTTTTGTACTTTGGTGAAATGTGAGAAATTAGACCCTCATATATCCTATGGTTATTTTTTTCATTATTATTTATAACATTTTTAGAGTCATTTATAAAACTGATGGGAATTAATTTGTCTATAGTCTTCAAGTAAGAATGTCTACGCCCTTTGCAATGGTCATATTAGAAAAAGTAGGTGTTATCGAGAATGCACTTATGATTTTAAGATCCAAAAAAAAAGTCTATTTTGAGTTTTGTAATTTTCACTAAAAACAGTATAAATCTGAAAAACTTAATATAGACTATTTTTATTGGACGGAAGTAATACATGATAAAAAGTAATTTTAGGAGGAATTTCTGAAGAGAGAGTTGTTTATAATTGTGCTATTTTTGGGAGGCCTTCTCCCTCCTTTACCTCTTTTCCCGAGCAAGAGGGTATATATGGTATTTCAAAATGAAGTAGCAAAATCCTTTGTTTTTTAAAGGTATTTGCAAACCCTCTCTGCGGATTTTGGTAAAACCTCAAAACGCCGAACAAAAAACCTCTCATCACCGGCGTTCGTAATGGCGGCGGCAGCAGTAGCGGAGCCCCGGAAGGTTCCGCGGCCAGGACGCGGCGGCGTAATCTCCCACAACTTAACTGAAGAAGAAGCTCGGGTGAAAGCCATAGCCGAAATCGTTTCAAACATGGTGGAGCTTTCCCATAAGGGCGAGAATGTCGACCTAAATGCTCTAAAGTCGGCAGCTTGCCGGAAATATGGTCTGTCCCGAGCCCCAAAGCTTGTCGAGATGATTGCCGCGCTTCCCGATTCTGAGCGGGAGTTGCTCCTCCCAAAACTCCGAGCTAAACCCGTCCGTACAGCCTCCGGGATTGCTGTGGTAGCGGTTATGTCGAAACCTCACCGGTGTCCTCATATTGCTACAACAGGGAATATCTGTGTCTATTGCCCCGGTGGACCGGACTCGGATTTTGAGTACAGTACTCAATCATATACTGGATATGAACCTACCAGTATGCGTGCAATTCGAGCTAGGTGAGTGATATTAGTTTAATTGAAATGGTATCTGTAAAGTTTTACTTGTGATTTAGTTTAAAGAGTTTGTATGGTTATGTGCTTTGTTGAAGTTGGAAATGATTGCGTTCATCTTTTTTTTTTTTTTCGGTTTACTTTAATACAACTAAGAAGAAAAAATTTGTCCTTCGTAAAATGTTCGAATCTGATGTAAAACTTAAATTTTGGTTGTACTAGTTTTATGCATTGTGATTGTTGTTGGTAGATAAAGATTTTAACATTTGCTGGGAAATTTTAGTGTTATCTGAGTGTATTTCAACCTTTTAAGTGTCTTCCCATGGGGTTCTAGTTAATACCCAAGTGTCCCTGGTGCAGACGTATGTTTTGTTCTATCATTGTTTTTCGTATTTCATTAACAAGTAATTCCTGAAGATTTTTGCAATATAATTGGTTTTTGTGGAACACTTCGAAAGATAGATATCATCAGATGCTAAAATTAGGATTTTGGAGTTATTCTTAAGAAGCAATTTGGAGTCGTGTGTTCTTTCCATAATCTATAAATCTTCAGCGAAACCTGAGCTTTCCACTCAGTATTTATATAAGGGAAAATTCTTAAAGGCGAAGTAAAGTTTATTCTTATCAACAGGGCATGGAACTTTTGAAACTTTTTTTGAAGTATTAGGACATTAACGCCTAGCCTGGTTTTTGTGAAGGGATTGCTAATGTTATACTTTCATCCACTGATTTGGTTGTCATGTTTTCAGATACAACCCATATGTTCAAGCCCGAAGTAGGATAGATCAGTTGAAGAGATTGGGTCACAGCGTTGACAAGGTTTGGTGTCTTCGTTCAATGTTTCTTTCCATTTGATGAAATTTGAAAATGATGTCCTCATAGTTTCATATCTCTGTCATGCAGGTTGAATTTATTTTAATGGGAGGAACTTTCATGTCTTTGCCATCTGAGTACCGTGACTATTTCATTCGGAACCTTCATGATGCATTGTCAGGGCATACTTCTGCTAATGTTGAAGAAGCAGTTGCTTATTCTGAACACAGTGCGGTGAAATGCATTGGGATGACCATTGAAACGTAAGTTATGGGTGCCACAGATGTAGGAAATTTGCTTATGTCATTATGATATACTATAATTGAGAGGGACTTGGTGTCATTTCCTTACAAAAAGTAAAATTTGATTATTGTAATTGTTCAGAAGATATTGAAATACAGTGTCTGGCATTGTGTACAAACACGAGGGTATAAGCAGAACTTCTTGACTTCAGAACTACTGCAACCTTTATTTTATGTCTGTGATATATTTTGTGCCCTTCCTCAAATGTCTGAGATAATTCAATGGAAATTTTGCTTTTTTCTCTTTTTCTTTGTTGGTATGTTTTGGAGTTGGGATGGCCAGGGTGGTTTTTTTTTGGGGGAGGGTTGGAGTATGACCCGATGGTGTAGTTTTGCTATACAGTTCACTGATTACTTTCTTCTTTGAACAAACCAGGCGACCTGATTATTGCCTGGGGCCTCATCTAAGGCAAATGCTTTCATATGGCTGTACCCGGTTGGAGATTGGAGTTCAGAGCATATATGAGGATGTAGCCCGTGATACAAATAGAGGTCATACAGTTGCTGCTGTTGCTGATTGCTTTTGCTTGGCAAAGGATGCTGGTTTTAAGGTGTTCCTTTGTTTCGATGTTTTCTTGCTCTTTGAATCATCTGTTAATTGACATCTGCTACAAGATATGTATATAGCTGGTTGTGAGTTGTGACCCTGTCCCTCTATCCCTCCATGATGTTCCCCCGTGTTTCCGTTGCTTGTCTTATATCTCTATTTGATTGAGAAGACCCCCGACTTCTGACATTGACAGGGCCCCATTAATAGATGTGAAAGCTGCAAATGATATCATCTAAAATAGAACACCATGGTAGTGTATTGGGTATAAATATAACACGGTCGTCGTATTGGTTTACTTTTATCCATTCGTTTTCAATTTATAAGCAAGGATAGGATTTTCTAGGCCTCTTTTTGTACGCAAAGCATGGTTAGTGGTTAGCATGCAGACTGCAGACTCCCCAGCGTAAAATAAATCATCCTCTTTTGAATGGATTGTGGAAGTAGTTGAACATTTCTCGTGGTGGTCTGATGAAACTAAAATGAGGTATTATCTAAGAGCAGTCAACAATAGCCAATATCTATGTTTTAGAAAGAACTGACGGCTTGCCCTGAGTGCAGGAGATTTTTTTCATCTTGTGAGTGATGTTGGACAAGCATGGTGGTTATAAAAACATGTCGTAGATGGCTTATTAGGTTAAAGCACCCTTTACTAAGTTAATTAAAGTTCTGTCGTTTTGTTTCTTCCTTGGATCATGGTGATCCTGGGCTCAATTATGGAAGATTGAGTTCTTCTACCTTGTCTGTATCAGTATCATTTTGTCTGCTTGACTTATGCAAGAGGCAAGGGAAATGAGAAGTTATTGAATGAAAAAGTCATATCCTTTATTATGAAACTTCTGGTTCTTGTGACCTTGCAAGTGTTTAGTATAGCGGAGCTGAGTTAGGTGTTTGTGGGTCAGGCGTAATATTACAATTTCTGTGCCTTCTTCTTTTAGATTTCCATCTGTCATGCTTGTAAGCTTTATTCATGTTGGTAAATCACATTTTCTTTCACCGTAGGTGGTTGCTCATATGATGCCTGATCTTCCAAATGTTGGCGTGGAAAGGGACATGGAGAGTTTTAAGGAATTTTTCGAGAACCCGTCCTTCAGGGCCGATGGACTTAAAATATACCCTACTCTTGTTATTCGTGGTACTGGTCTTTATGAACTCTGGAAGACTGGCAGGTACTAAATGATTTGCAAACAAGCATCGGAGGCCTTTCTTTGTCTGTACTCGGCTTTTACAACTTATGTGACATCTTATTGAAATACTTGGCCAGTATGATCTCAATGAGATACATTAATCTGTACATAATAAGCGCAGTGTTGACTTCATCACGCACTCCAAATTTACTCTCTTATTATGGTTGGATATGCATGACTACTAATTTGCTCTCCTGACATATCTCTAAATTACCATTTCTAATTCTTATGTCCTTCAAGTATTTCTACTAATATGTATGACTACATTTGCTCTCTGGACATATCTCTAAATTACCATTTCTAATTCTTATTTCCATCAAGTATTTCTTGGTCACTATGACATCATGTTCATTTGAAGTTTTGGACCAAATTTTCTGTCTAAAACTGAAGAAGTAAAGGAAATAAATGTTCAGTGTATTATTGTTTACACTTTATAAATACGATCTGGAAACTGTGTGCATCACTGCCATACTTCAGTATGAAGATTAACCTTATTCAGGTGTTCGCTATTGCAGGTATCGAAATTATCCTCCTGAGCAGCTTGTTGACATTGTAGCTAGAATTCTGGCAATGGTTCCCCCTTGGACGCGTGTCTATAGGGTTCAGCGAGATATCCCTATGCCTCTGGTTACTTCTGGGGTTGAAAAAGGGAATCTACGGGAGCTGGCTTTGGCTCGGATGGATGATTTAGGCTTGAAATGTCGAGATGTGCGAACTCGTGAAGCTGGAATACAGGTAGGTTGAATCCATTTTCAGTAAGCGGAGTATTTTTTGTCATAAAAGTCATCATTGCCTATTTTTCATCCTGTTTTACCAATTTTATCCAGGATATTCATAACAAAATAAGGCCAGAAGAAGTCGAGCTTGTCCGACGTGATTATACTGCAAATGAAGGCTGGGAAACTTTTCTTTCATACGAGGATACACGCCAGGTAATGTACACAATGTCTTACTTTTACTTTTCATGTTAGTAGTCAAATAAAAGGACCAGTAAATGGAGGAAAATGTGATATCTTTCTGGGTTGAGTAGGGATTTTTCCATGGCCAGACCAATGGTGATGGCTTTATCCTTTCTGCCGTTGATTGGCTGGGATAAGATTTCAGATGATAAATTTATGCCGACTGGAAAACAAATGTACATTAGTATGAGAAAACATACATTCCTAGATAGAGTATTTATGTATATATCCATGAACTAGGAATACCAAGGTTTATCCATGAACTAGATAGAGTATTTATGTATATATCCATGAACTAGGAATATTAGACAACTGACCTGACAACAATTTGGTATAGGCAAAAGATTTCTGGTAATTTTTCTTGGAGTTAACTTGTATTGTGGTTGGCTCTTAAGCTCTTAAGACTTCACTATAATCATTTGTTTTTAGGCGAATGAGATTTTACATCTCCTACTGTAGGTATGATTTGTGTGTTTTCTTCACCTTGACCCCCATGTCTTGAATTGCTCAGTAACTGAATTAACTGAACAACTGAAACCTTTTCTTTTTCCCCCTCTCCCTATCTCTGTTCATGATCTTTAGTTTCTGTAACTGGTAACAGAATCAACTGAAACCTTTTTCTTTTTTTTTTTTTCTTTTCGCGTGGATGAATGCAGGATATTCTTGTTGGTTTGCTTCGTTTGAGGAAATGTGGCCGAAACGTCACTTGCCCTGAACTCACAGGAAAATGTTCTATTGTTCGGGAACTCCATGTCTATGGAACAGCAGTTCCTGTGCACGGACGGGATGCTGATAAATTGCAACACCAAGGATACGGTACACTGCTGATGGAAGAAGCGGAGCATATTGCTCGCAGAGAACACAGGTCAAAGAAAATAGCCGTCATTTCAGGAGTCGGAACCCGTCACTATTACAGAAAGTTGGGTTATGAGCTTGAAGGTCCTTACATGGTGAAATACCTTGCATGAGGAGACTAGTTTAGGATGAAGTGTTAGCTCACCTAAGAAGACCACTAATATGTTGCTGTGTAGCAAGCTTTGTGATGTCAGAAGGTTGTCTGTAAATTATGTATCGTTTTGCTGCCAACTTTTGTCTTAAATTTTGAACTCAGTAGAAATCAGAAATGTTTTACTTGTGAAAAGAACACCACCTTCCATTATGAAAGAAACAAACTGTTCTCGAAATTCGAAGATAATATGAAAAGAGAAGCCAATTTTTGACATTGATTTTCGAAAATGATCTGGCAAGTCTCTGATTTAGCCTTTAAAGTTTAAACTCGATTATTTTCTCCAAGATGTACCCTAGTTATCTTTCCAGCGAAAATCAACAAATATAACCACCCAGCTGTCCTGCTCCAATGTCAACCAAATATAAGAGGTTTTTTATTAAGTGTTAGCCTTTCCTTTTTCCCCATTATCTGAGGACTACAAGATTTCAAACGGCCAACAAAACACCATGCCGAAACTACCTTTCGGTTCAGTACTAACTTCTTTTCCCACCATAACCAGGCCTCCCGGGTTATTCAAATCCATTAAGAACACATTTGAACAAACCCCACAAACTGTTCGACAAAATGCCACACTCACAGCCACCATCACCCCGCCCCACAAGTTGCCCCCAGCTTCAGCCTATGTTCATCTCCCGTTCTGTCGGAAACGCTGCCACTATTGTGATTTCCCTATTATAGCGCTTGGCTCCTCCTCTGCAGTTGATGATGACCCGCGGATAGTAAACTACATTCAAACTCTTTGCAGGGAGATTAAGGCCACACCGGTGGAATCTAGCGCTAACCCGCCTCTTGAGACTGTGTTTTTTGGAGGTGGGACGCCTTCCTTAGTTCCACCAAAATTGGTTTCTTTAGTGCTTGAAACTTTGGGTTCTAAATTTGGGTTGTCTTCGGAAGCTGAGATATCAATGGAAATGGATCCTGGCACATTTGATAGGGACCAGTTGAGGGAATTTTTGGAGTTGGGAGTGAATAGAGTTTCTTTGGGAGTGCAGGCTTTTCAAGATGATTTGTTAAAAGCATGTGGAAGAGCTCATGGTGTTAAAGAAGTTTATGAGGCTATTGACAATTTGAAGGCCTGTGGGGTTGATAATTGGAGCATGGATCTCATATCTTCCCTTCCTCATCAAACTCCAGAAATGTGGGAGGAGAGTTTGAGGCTAACTATCCAGTCCGAGCCTACCCACGTCTCAGTGTATGATTTGCAGGTTGAGCAAGGCACTAAATTTGGAATACTGTAAGTCAATATTGCCTTTTTGATGCAAGGGCTCAAGTCCGTTTCTTTTCACATTTTCGTAAATTGGTAAAAAGATACTGGGCTTGCTCATCTTTTTTCATCACTTTTCATTTGGCATTCCAATTTGTAACGCATCTGTGAATAACAGAGTGATGTGAATGTTCCATGATTGCATGAGTGCCTAAACCATCAAATGTCGAGGCTGCATTTTTCTCTTAGAGTAAATTGACTAATGCATGATGCAGAGAAGAGATTTTGATGTAAGACGCTGTATCGGCCATTAGGAAAAGTAGGATCAAAAAAGTTTTAAGTGAAAACAGCTTTCTTTATTAGCAATAGATTTGGGAACTCAAAAGTTGTTTTTGTTCCTTCACAAGCATTTTTATTTGCATTGGTCTCTGTGCAGGTACACACCGGGTGAGTTCCCATTGCCTTCTGAGGATCTATCAGCTGAATTTTACAGAATGGCTTCAAGGATGCTAGGCAATGCTGGTTATGACCATTATGAAATTAGTAGTTACTGCAAGAGTGGTTATCTTTGCAAACACAACTACACTTACTGGAAATGTGAACCATTTTATGGTTTTGGTCTTGGGGCGGCTAGTTATGTTAATGGAATAAGGATGTCTAGGCCAAGAAAGTTGAAAGATTTCATGCATTATGTACAGAGTCTGGAAAATGGTGTGTTCAACGGTGAAGATGGTAGATTTGAAACTAGTGATCTGGCAATGGATGCTATCATGCTCGCCCTCAGAACTTCTAGAGGATTGAATTTGAAAACTTTTGGGAAAGCTTTTGGTTTCACCCTTGTACATTCTCTATGCAAAGTATATCAACCCTATATGGAAAGCGGGCATGTTGTATTCTTAGATGACAAGGGAAGAAGTATTGAAGCGGATGAATTTAGTCGCCTGGTTTCCGATGATTACAAGGAGAGTGATGCACTTGCCTTTCTTCGGCTAAGTGATCCAGATGGATTCCTTCTATCTAATGAGTTGATATCCCATGCATTTAGTGTCATAGGTTCATAAGCCACATTCAAAGTTGATGCTTCAAGCTTGCTGAAGCTTTTGATGGTAGAGGTCAAGTGATGCTAATCTGCTGACTGTTTATATAGAGTAGGATTCGGAGTGAATGCAGTGCAATATCGTTGATTTTCTTATTAAACAGCATAATAACTTTAATCAAGAAAGATTCTTGAATGGATTATTAAGTTCAAAAACTGCAATCAAGCCGGATTCTGGAATGACTTTTAGCCGTTGAAAGATGAAAACTTCATCGAGTATATTCGGCTTACTGGGGTTTTGATTTTTCCAACATGCTGCGAAATTCAGAAGAGCTTATGCAAAGTTAAAGATGAGAGCAGAGAGGGAAACTCTGGGACTTGTTGCGGCACAATGCAATCTATATATAGTGTTTCCGTTGGATTCAATAAAGTTAGAGAAGTTGTTGGGGTCATGTCTTGTTGCCGTTGCTGTCTTTATTTTCAGGTGACCAAGAAAATGTTGATCAGCAAAATCCTTTTTTTTTTTTTTTTTTTTTTATAAAAAAAGATACCTGTATATTATTTTTAAAAAAGTACCTAAATTATTACAACACAATCTATTGAATACTAAATTATGTAGTTTTACGACATCTTGCCTACTCACTTTAATTAGTGAGCAAGATTGAAAGGAAGAAATAGTAGTGATTAACAAAGAAACCACCTCATGAGCCTCAGAAGGTATTAGAGAATACCGTAAATCTCCAGTCAAAGTTTCAGTCTCTGAAAACCTAGAGTCGAGTGACCCCTAAATGCAATGTCTCCCTCAAATCCAAAAAACAAGTCGTTGCCTCCTCTTGAAAAAGAGAAAATACACTTAAATCCTCTACTTTGATTTGTATCACCAAACCTTGATGTGATATTATCTTCCAAGTACCACCCGCTTTGCGTGATTGATGACTAAACGATTCATAAAAATAACTAAGTAATCTTCTAACCGCGAGGCAGATGTGACTATCGATTAGATTCCTTCTAGTTCCCAGTGTACCGAGGTTTTGTTTATGAAGAATAACTTTATTTTGGATAAGTCTCCAGATACCGATGGATCTTTAGATTGATTTCTCCAAATCTTATCATTCCTTTCCAGTCACATCCTCCAAATGATGATAAAAAATAAATCGACCTCCTCTTTAGTGGGATGAGACTGAGTCTAACGGATGAACCATTGATGCAAAGAGTCACATGCAGAACTGAATATGGAGCCAAACAGAGGAAAAGCCAAGGCCCAAATGGCCTGAGAGGCTTCACACTAAAAGAATAAATGTAAGTTACCTTCCTCTTGTCTGCCACATCTAGGGCATACCGAGTCAACTTGAACTCTTTTTTTTTTTGCATAGTTTCGATCGTGTAGGAAGAGCATTGAGTAATGCTCTCCTTAAAGGAACTTGTGCTTGGGTTGGACACTTGGATTCCAAATTCGTTTCAAAACTAATTTCTCTACATTTTGGATTGCTGGATTTGGTACAGGTTGTGGAAGGAAAGCATTGATGGGCAACTAATACCCTGATTTGACTGTATAGTTACCATGCTATGTAATTGTCCATTAGAGCTTACTTTTTGATTCCGTTTTGCCGGATCTAAAAAAATCCTAGTAATACTGGAGATAATATCATCTGGAAAAATTTCTAAGGGCATGAATCTTCCATTGACCACTTGGAGTAATAAATCGATCCACGGTGAAGTTTAACATAGCTAAAATGGAATGAGGCCCAATCAGATTCTGAATATCAGGACTCCAGTTAACATATAGAGGGATGTCCCTCCCTGAGATGACCTTCCATTTAGTATGATTTTGCAGAAGTTCAGCTCCCCACATAATGCTCTTAAATTCCCAGGATGAATTTTTGGGAGGTTGTATCGGAGGGAACATGCCATTGTTGCAATACTTGGCACGGAAAAGCCTAGCTTGGAGGGAGTGGGGCTTAGAGATTATCTTCCATGAATGTTTTCTAAGAATGCCTGGTTGAATTACTTTGTGGTTTTAAGACCTAAACCTCCAAGAAAAGGAGATTTTGTAATTTTCGTTCTTTGTTACAGGAAAGGAAAAAGGAATAAAAAAGTTATTTCTTTTCTCTTAACAATGATTTGAAGAAAGACACATTCTCTATTTTCATTACAATCTCATTGGTCTTCCTCTTAATTGAATCAAAGAAGGGAATGTGAGTTTTGGAGTAAGGGTGTTCACAAGATATCGAACTATTTCAATGGGAAGTCGAGGGTGTTCACATGTAACATATTGGGTTCTTGAAATGGGAAGTTCAGAGTGTTTTTAGGTGGCTAAAGAACTAGACCTTATCCCTGATCAAATCAGATTTCAAACAAATGAACATATGAACAATATTGGAGAGTGACGATGAGAAAAAGAACTTTGGATATATTTTCATTTATTTATCCATATAGTCTCACACCACGCCTCACTGAAATTCGATTATTCGACCTCAAAGAAATCCACTCTCTGATATGTCTTTGTCGTAAGTTTTCCAAATTCAACTGTTGTCTGTGAATTATGTATCTTTTCATGCTAAGTTTGGTTTGACATTTTAAAATGAAATACACAGGTGCACTGAATTGAAGTTTTGTACTCAGTAGAAATGTTCGATTCCTGCTGGGTACAAAATTACAGGAGACCCACGAAATCCATGCATTTTTGTATGGATGATGAGTTGAATGTCAGTCCATAGATTTCCAATAGTGAAATTGATTGTAAATTAAAATGTGGTAGAACTAAAATTGATCGTCTTAGTACGCATTTCAGTTATTTAGAAACCAAAATCGAAATCAGACCTGACATTCAATCAACAATGGAATCTTTAGTTTAGGGTAAAAAATACTCGCGTATGCCGAAGAAGATCAACACCATGCAATATGAACAAATACCAAATTTTCTTGAAATTGGAAGATAATATGAAAAGGAAAAGATCAACATTGCATCCAGGTAGTTGCTACTTACTAGCAATACTTTACATTGTTCATACTATAGTCGAGAAAATGGTCAATTTGACTCAAAACTTCTGCCCCTGACCAATTTAAAGTAAAAGGATTTTCTGAAGTCAATTCCATTAAGATAGTTAGCCAATTTTGTCCAATTCTGCCAATTTTACCTTATTGTGTTAGTTAATAATATAATAATAAAATTTAATGACTAGAACTCCCATATAGTTTTAAGAAATACAAAATATCTCCCGAAATATTTATCTCCTTATTATCATTATTATTATTATTATTATTATTATTGTTATTATTATTATTATTACTATTATTATTATTTGTTCTCTTTTACTCTTTTAGGGTCCACAGTTAGTGAACTTTGTGCTATTGAAGATCATATGGTATATTTTAAAATTTCTAAGAAAAAGTAAAAGAGAAAAGAATAAAATAGGGGAGAAAATGCGATATTGTTAATTTTACATATTTTCATAGTTATTTTTGTATTTTTTAAAACTAAAGGACATTTTTAGTGTCTAAAATCTGTAATTTAATTCATAAATAACGGAAAAAGTTTAAAATTTATGAAAATGGACTACAGTGGCCAAAAAATGAAACTATCTTGATGGAATTGGAATCAATAATTCTTTTTGGTTAAATTGTCCAGGAGGCAGAAACTTTGGGTATGATCGACCATTTTCTCTGGTCGAGATGTTTGAGAAATACCAAGTTTTTGACATTGCAGCTGTAATTGGATGCGTCTTTCTTTCCAAACACGATCATATAAGTCTCTGATATCACTTTAGTCTCAATTATTCTCTTTAAAACCTCAGTTATTTTTCTAGTGAAAGTCGTATTTGGAGGTAAGCTTATACTTGTTGTTTTAAACTAAGAAGAAGGTGTTTTGTTACTAATGTTAAGACTTTGGAAACTGTATTCAGTTATTTTTATTTTATTTTTTTTATCTATTCAATCAGTTTTTCTCAGAATTCTAACATGTAACTATGAGAGGTATCTACTTAGGTGGTCATACTCCTGAAAAATTTATACATTCCATGATTTTTTTGGATCAGTCTTCAGTTGGATTAAATGTTTAACTACTTTTCAATGTAGAGAGCCTTCAGAAAAAGAAAAATCCTTTGTTGTTATTTCGACTCAATGTAAATCTAACCAAAGGCCAGCACACGAATTTAATAGCTAGATATAAGGATCAGACATTCTCTCTTTTCTTTCTCTCTCTTCGTCGTTTTCTCTCGGTACTCTGTGCCTTGCCATGGCGAGGAACGCGAGGAAGGTACCGAAGAAAGGAGTGGTGGAGAACAAGATTGTGAGTGAAAACACGAGTGTGGAAAGGTCAATTACAGATTATGGAAAGCAAATTGTGGATTCAGAAATGCCAATTGATTTGGGGAAACAGTTGTTGAGCAAAAACCCTAAATTGCAAAAGGGGGAAAGTTATGCAAATCCTCGATCAGTTCAGCGAAGGTTATCATGGGCCAAAGAAATGGAAGGCAAGCAAGATCAGATTGCGTGGTCTAGGTTTGTCATCTCCAAATTCAGAAATCCTGGAACTAAATTAGAGTTTGTACAACCACAGGAAGTCAATGGCAACCAGATTGGACAGAGTCAGCAAGATGATGCGGAGATTGAAGCTTAATTTTGGGAAAGCTCGGTGGTAGCTTCGTGCTGGGATCGAGTCCTCCCTATGCTGTGATGAACAAGCATTTTCGTAACCTTTGGGGCCATCTTGGAGTGGACAAGGTAATTTTGCTCCCTTCTAGTTTGTTTGTTATTACGTTTACTAGTATGCATGCTAGCGATACGGTGCTTAGTCATAATGTGTATCATATGGGTAATAAACTGATAGTTGTCAAGCCTTGGACCATAGAAAAAGGAATCAACTATAAGGAAGTTCATAGAGTGCCGGTTTGGATAAAATTAAGGTGATTGGAACTGAAGTATTGGCATAGCTCTTCACTAAGTAGGATTGCTAGTTCTATAGGCATTCCCATAATGACTGATGAAGCCACAACTCAGAGAGAAAGGGTAAATTATGCTAGGTTACTAGTCGAAGTGGAAATTCGGAAGTCTCTAAAGGATAAGGTTTACTTCATTGATGAGATGGGCACTATAAAAGAGCAAACTATTGTACATGAATGGCTTCCTATGCAGTATGAATGTTGCAAAGGGTATGGCCATCTTATGGAAAAATGTCGATTAGATCCAAAGACTCAGGAGCAGTACAAGGGTAAGGAAGATTAAGGAAGAGATAGTAACATCCCAGTTGTGAGGAGAAATGTTGAGTTATGGAGGAAAACTGATCATCAGCCACAAAAATCAAGACCAAATCCTATGGTGGAGGTTCTTAGTCAAAGCAGATTGAAAGTGGAAAGGATGAGTAAAGATGCTCGAATACTTAGAAAACAGGAACTGTGGAAAAAAATGGTCAGCCGGTAGGAACCTTCCAAGGTGAATGATACAGGATATAATGAAGGAGAGCAGAACATGGCTACTCTTGACCCTGATCAAGGGATCAATTAGTAACCTCCTAACTTGGAATATAAGGGGCTTTAATGCCCTTTAAAGCAGAAGGAACTATATATAGTCCTATGTGCGAATAAAGTAGAAATGGCATATATTGTGGAGACAAAGCTTAATAGAGACAAATGCGATCATATTTTATGAAGGTGGTGGGAAAAATAGAAGAATTATATGAGCTACGACAGCAATTGAAAAGGTCGAATGACCTTGCTCTGGACTGATGGGATGGTTTGATGGCTTTGAAAAGTACAGTTAATGGACCTTAGATTGTAACAGGGGATTTTAGCATCCTGGCTCAGCATGAAAAGATGGGAGGCAGAGAACCACAACTGAGAGACATGGAATATTTTAAGATGTGTGTTGATGAATGTGGATTAGAAGATATGAGACAAATTGGTTCTAATTTTAGTTGGTGCAATATGCAGTTGGGAGAAGATAGAATAATGGCAAAATTGGACAGTGTACTCATCAACAGAGATTGGATCATACAGCAGAATGATTCGCTAGCAGAGGTGTTGAATGCTGGGATATCATGAAAAGATGGGAGGCAGAGAACCACAACTGAGAGACGTGGAATATTTTAAGATGTGTGTTGATGAATGTGGATTAGAAGATATGAGACAAATTGGTTCTAATTTTAGTTGGTGCAATATGCAGTTGGGAGAAGATAGAATAATGGCAAAATTGGACAGTGTACTCATCAACAGAGATTGGATCATACAGCAGAATGCTTCGCTAGCAGAGGTGTTGAATGCTGGGATATCATGAAAAGATGGGAGGCAGAGAACCACAACTGAGAGACGTGGAATATTTTAAGATGTGTGTTGATGAATGTGGATTAGAAGATATGAGACAAATTGGTTCTAATTTTAGTTGGTGCAATATGCAGTTGGGAGAAGATAGAATAATGGCAAAATTGGACAGTGTACTCATCAACAGAGATTGGATCATACAGCAGAATGCTTCGCTAGCAGAGGTGTTGAATGCTGGGATATCTGATCATAATCCTATAATGATAAGGATTGCAGAAGACATGGTAAGGAAGACTAAACCATTTAAATACTTTAACATGTGGAAGCTAGACCCTGACTATCCTACAGTGGTAACGGCAAGCTGCCAGATCCCTATCCAAGGTACCCAAATGTTTCAGGTTGTGAAGAAATTAAAGAGACTTAAAGTAGTCATGAAGAAACTCAATAAAGGAATGGATTCAAGAGGGGGATGCTAACATTGTATATTTCCACTCTAAACTTAGGAAAAAAATGATGAGAAATAGAATCCGGAGCATCACTGTTGAAATTGGAACTTTGGTAAGGGATGGGGAAAAATTTAGGATCATTTATTGCAGTTTTTTCAGAGATTGTTGGGACAAGAGGCTGACAAGAAAACATGTGATAGAGATGTGTTTCAAATGGGACCTAAGCTGCAGTTAGAAGACCAAATAGAACTAATCAAACCTATTTCCCAAAAGAAGTACATCAAGCACTGTGGAGCATTCCAGGGAACAAAAGCCCGGGACCAGATGGGCATGGGAGCGATTTCTTCAAAGCTTCTTGGCCAATAGTGGAGCAGGAGGTTACTAATGGAATAATGAAGCTCTTCGACAAAGGTCAGATGTTACGCCAACTGAATTCTACTCTTATTGCATTTATACCTAAAGTAGAGAATCCATCTGATGCTAGTCAATAAAGGCTTATATCCGGTTGTAATGTTTTGTAGAAATGTATATCAAAGATATTGTGTGAACGGTTATGCTTTGTCTTGCCTAAATTTGTAGAGCAGAACCAAAGTGCCTTCGTAAAAGATAGGCTTATCTTCCATAATATCTTGATTACACAAGAACTTATTAGACTGTATGGTAGACTGAACATTAGTGAAAGATGCCTAATGAAAATTGATTTACAGAAAGCTTATGATTCCATAGAATGGGAGTTTATAGAAGAGTGTTTAATAGGGTTTGGATTCCCTGAATAATATGTAAATTGGATAATGGCCTATATTACTATGACATCTTTTTTCTCTCTCCTTAAATGGTATTAGTGTAGGCTACTTTCAAGGGAAGAGAGGACTTAGGCAAGGAGACCCTGTTTCACCGTTAATATTTGTTCTTGTAATAGAATATTTTACGAGACAGTTGAAGGTAGCAGCCGAAAACCCTAAATTTAGATTTAATCCCAAATGTGAATCCTTGAAGATGATGTATATATGTTTTGCTAATGATTTGATGGTTTTTTTTGTAAAGCTACTGTGTTTATATGGTGAAAAGTATTATGACAAAATTTCAAGATTTTTGGGGAACTTCTGGACTTAGAGCAAATGTAAACAAGTCTAATGTGTATTACAGTGGTGTTACTGACAGACTTAAAAAGCAGATTGATGATTTAACAAGTTTTAGACAAGGACAATTCCAAATGAGATATTTGGGAGTTCCCTTGTCTCCAAAAAAGTGGTCTTAAATAGAATGTCGACAGCTTGTCTCCCATATAGTTGCCCAGATTCACTATTGGAGTAGCAGGAACTTGTATTATGCTGCTAGAGCTCAACTGATTAACTCTGTTTTGTTGCACTTACATGTTTATTGGGCAACCGTTTTTATATTGCCAAGAGCTGTTATTGATAGTATTAACATGCACTGTAGAGAGTTCTTGTGGGGAGTTACAGACTCTGGCAGATGCACTGCTGTGCAAGAAGAAATCACAAAGAGGACTTGCTTTTAAAGATGCCAAGTTATGGAATGAAGCATCCATTATGAAGCAAGTATGGTGGTTAGCCCAATGTGAGAATAATTTGTTGGTTCGTTGGATGCATGAGATATATCAGAAACATGCAAATATTTGGGATGTTGAAGCTAAGGCTGATAGTAGTTGGCAGTGGAAGGCCATTCTGAAAGTCAGAGACAGGGCTAGAGAAGCTTTTGAAGGTAGTATTTGGAAATTGAATAGCTCTGGTAAATACTGCACTTTGGAAGGTTACTATTGGCTGGTTGGACAACAAGGAATGTAAGTAGATTTGGTCCCGGCTGAATGTCCCTAAGCATTCGTTTATAGCCTGGTTATACTGGCATGGATGATTGTGGACTAGGGATAGACTTATCAGGCAAAATGTTAGAATGGATAATGATATATGCTGTTTGTGCAACCAGGAATCTGAGACTGCACAATACCTTTTTTTCCAATTATGTTTTGTGGAAAGGATTATTGTAAGGATCAAACAATGGTTGGAGTTGACAACTTTGACTGTACAGGGAGGCAAATGGCAAACAGAATTAAAGCAAATCTGGAAGAGAGCTGCACTTAAAAATAAAATACTTTATGCAGTGATCATGGCTTGCATATACAGTATTTGGGAAGAAAGAAATAAGCGCCTATTTGAAGGCAAATGCAGGAATGAAGAGCTGATATTTCAACAGATCAAGGAAGAAGTTGCCATCAGGGTGAAATTTTGTGGTAGTCATAAGGAAAAGATTAAAGATAGGCAGATTATTGAAAAATGGTTTTGATGTTAAGAAAGAGTATCGCTACAATTGTTATAGAATATATAGTCTAAGAGCGAAACAGGAATGATGTAAATGTGTGAAAACAGGGACATTGATCAATAAAATTTCACATGTTTTTTGTCAAAAAAAAAAAATACTTTTCAATGCAGAGAGTAAAGGTATAAAGGTAACAACTTTTGAATATTTAGAAACATAACAGGTGCTTTTGTTACTTTACAAGCATTTTTATCAGCATTGGTTTCTATGCATGTAGTGAGACCCCATTCCCTTCTGACGACCTAATTTTATAGAATAGGTTTAAGGATTCTAACCGATGCTGGGTATGACCATTAATTATGAGATGTGTAGCTCTACTTCACAAGTGGTTACATGCATGTGGAAACACAACTTCACTTCAGACTTGATCATCTGGTCGAGATGTCTAAGAAATACCAAGTTTTTGACAATGCAGTTGTAATTAGATGCATCTTTCTTTCCAAACATGATCATATAAGTTTCTTATATCACTTCAGGCTCAATTATTCTCTTTAAAATCACAGTCAGCATTGGTTTCTATGCATGCAGTGAGACCCCATTCCCTTCTGACGACCTAATTTTATAGAATAGGTTTAAGGATTCTAACCGATGCTGGGTATGACCATTAATTATGAGATGTGTAGCTCTACTTCACAAGTGGTTACATGCATGTGGAAACACAACTTCACTTCAAACATGATCATCTGGTCGAGATGTCTAAGAAATACCAAGTTTTTGACATTGCAGTTGTAATTAGATGCATCTTTCTTTCCAAACATGATCATATAAGTTTCTGGTATCACTTCAGGCTCAATTATTCTCTTTAAAACCACAGTTCTCTTTCTAGTGAAAGTCGTATTTAAAGGTAAGCTTGTACTTATTTTTTTAAACTAAGAAAGAAGGTGTTTTGTTACTTATGTTAACATTTCAGAAACTATATTCGGTTTTTTTTTTTTTTTGTCTATTCAATCAATTTTTCTCAACATTCTAACATGTAACAATGAGAGGTATCTACTTAGGTGGTCATACTCCTGAAAGATTTATACATTCCATGATTTTTTTGGATTAGTCAGTCGGTTGGATTAAATGTTGAACTACTTTTCAATGCAGAGAGTAAATGTATAATGCATGTTTCTAGAAATTAGATTTCAATATTTTAGGATTTTGAGAACAGAAAGAAAAAGGTATAAAGGCAACAAATTTTGAATATTTAGAAACATAACAGTTGCTTTTGTTACTTTACAAGCATTTTTATCGGCATTGATTTCTATGCATGCAGTGAGACCCCATTCTCTTCTAACGACCTAATTTTATAGAATGGGTTTAAGGATTCTAACCGATGCTAGGTATGACTCTATGCATGCAGTGAGACCCCATTCTCTTCTGACGACCTAATTTTATAGAATAGGTTTAAGGATTCTAACCGATGCTAGATATGACCATTAATTATGAGATGAGTAGCTCTACTTCACAAGTGGTTACCTGCATGTGCAAACAAAACTTCACTCATATAAGTACAAAACTTTATGGTTTTGGTCTCGAGACAAGTTCTATTAATGGAACACAGATGTCTAGGCCAAGAAAGTTGAAAGACTTCATGTTTTATTTACAGAACTTAGAAAATGGTGCGCTCAACGGCGAGGTAGTAATGTTGAAACTAATGATCTTCACACACAATGGACGCTATCATGCTCGCCCTTTGAGCTTCTAGAGGCTTGGATATAAAAGCATTGGGGAAAGTTTTTTGTTTCACACTGGTGCAGTCTCTTTGCAACGTCTATCCACCTTATGTGGAAAGTGGACAAGTAATGTTCTTATAAAATGACAAGCGGAAAAGAATTAAAGGAGATAAATTTAGACATCATGATTAAAAGGCGAGTGACATACCAGCCTCTTTTCGGCTAAATATGTGATCCAGATGGTTTCCTAGTATTCAATGAGTTGATATCCCATGCATTTAGTGTCATAGGTTCTTAAGCCACATTCAAAGTTGATGCTTCAAGCTTTTGAGATTCGGGGTAAATGAAGGGGATATAACTTCTGGGCATAATATTTTGTAACTTTTCAACAAGATTTGATTGGGACTCGAATGGTCCCGTGCTCAGATCCGCTAGGTCTATGCCAGACTAGAAATGAAGAGTGAAAAATCTATCATGTTGGAAAGGCCTAGAGTAGAACCATCTCAGATGCTTATTGCTCAGTCTTGTACTGTAACATTTTCTGCTCAATTGGAGCAGAATACTAACACAAAAACAATAAGGTCTTTGGATTTTCTCCTATGCAGACAAATTGTCAATTTCCAACTCTTCCTTGGTGTATGTAGTCATTTTTAATTTCTGTATTACCTTACAAATTGATGGATAGAGCTCGAAGAGTGAGTCAAGGAATCTTAATACTAAAACGAATCTAGGTGACAAACATCATTACCAGCCTCCATCTGCATAATGAGCTATTTGGACCCCGAAAAGAAAAACCTTGACTGGTATATTCAGTTACGGAGAACATACTTGTCACAGTTGCCAAAGCTTTAAGATTATAACAAAAATAAATTTATCTAGATACTGAAAAATTGATGAAATCAGGAAAGAAATCATTATTGAATGAAGAACAAAATAGAATTGTAAATTCGTCATTAAAGCAAACTTAGAATATAACATAATACTGTCAGCTTTTAGCTACGTTACCCTCTTAGGATATTACATACAAGTTAATAATAATTGAGAAACCTAAAACACCATCTTTGCAGCAGATTAGGTTGATTGTTGAATGAGAAGAGCCAAAAGCCCTGGCAAATAGAAAAGGAAGAAGCCACACCCCAAACTTTGCCCCTCAGTTTTCTTCCACTTTGACAAAGATTAAGCAGAGCCTCCCTTCAATTTTAACCCTCCATAACTGCACAAGGTTACCAACTCGGAGTTTATTCCCATCCCTGATATTCTTCCACCCGTCGCCATTCAACACGTACACAATACTCGGGCCCCCCTTCGTCTTCTTCATCTCCCACCTTCTCAGATTCACCGTTTGAACTTTGTCCTGAGGCTCAATAATCCCAACTGGAATAGCCTTACAGTGGCCATCTTTATCGCGCTGTTTCAGAAATTCTTTGTCTTCCTTGTCGGGAAAGCCTTTCACCTGATTTGCAGGGATCGAGAAACGATTCTGTTGCCCTTTCACATCGGTTTTTGTCAATCTCTTCTGTATCACCAGGACTTCTGATTCGACCTCCCTGTATCCGGCTCTTTCCAGGATCTTCTTCTTGAATTCAACAGGCAAATCAGGAGCTGGATCAGGGCCACTGTGTTTACATTTTTTCTGGATCCTGATTTTGGGAGTTTTGTTCATATCCAGGGTTGGAATTTTAGTGAGGGGTAAATCAGGGCAATTTTCTTCCCATCGTTTCCTCTTCTTGAAGGGTAAATCCAGGGACGGAATAAAAGCCATGAAATTGGGATTAACTCCTGTTTTCTCTGTTTTCCCTGTATCCTTCTTGTACTTCCCTGAGACATTATCAGGAATAATGTCGTCTTTCCGGCCATTGTTTACGGTTTGAATCTTCTTATTTGAATTTATTCTGAATTTCAAAGACCCAACCTTCCCGGGTTCTGATTCCAACCCGCTAATTTCTGGAAGAAGAGGATCATTGTTAGGGGAAGAAACCATCTTGGGCTTCCGGCGAGGATGACGGAATTCAGTCCTTTTAGACGTACAACCCCAATTTGCGGCGATAGGCCTCCGGGCAGCGATGTTCTCTGTACTCTTCTTCTTCACTTCTTCTTGGTATGCTTCTGCAGCCACTAAGGCCAATATATCAAATTTCTTCATTGTTTCTGATTAAAACAGACAAAATGGCTCTATTGATTCAAGATGACGGTTTCTGATTCAAGGAACTAAAATTTCATCGAAGAAAGATGCAGAAAATCGACCTGAACAACAAAGTTGAATTGGGTTTACTGGGCTTTTTGATCTTTTCAACAATGCTGGGAAATTCAGAGGAATTTTCTGCAAGATCAAAGTTGAGAACAGAAAAAGAGAACCCTGGGACTTACTACGGCAGAAGTATAATCTGCATATGGTTTTCTATTTAATGAAGTCAGGGGAAGTGATAATTTTCCCTAATCCGTTTCCAGTCGGGATTTTGTTCTCACAATACGTTGTTGTCTTTAAGGCGGTGGAATTATAGGCCACAATGAAAAAGGTATATTCGTTTTACAATAACTATTTATTTATTTATTTTCATTCCGCTTAATAATCAAACAAAATTCTAGGCTGCTTGTTTTACAAGACAAAATTAACAATCCACATTAAAAAAGAGTCATAAACTAATTAATTGAATGCAGTGATGAATTTCAGCAAAAAACATTTTATTCAATTGCTTAATTGTATATAATTTCATTTTCACCCATCTATGAATTGTAGTCTCAAAATCTATTTATTTTCAAACTGGCGAACATCTTTCTCATTTATTTTCGATATGACCTAAACTTGTATTGGTTTCTACAATATTTACTCTCCCGTTCAAAATAAACATAGATTCTAGGAATTTCACTATAATAAGAGAAATTATCTCTAATTATTCTCCTCATGATTCATTTCAATGGTTTTTAATTCTAACACAATTTTGTCTAAGCACAAATTAAACTTTTCCAATACAAGAACAATAATGAAAAAAATGAAAAAAAAATACCTTGAATTTATAAAGAACATTTATTTCGAAATTTTTATGTTGCGACATTTATTTCAAAAACAATGGAGTTTTGTTACCAACCAGGTTTGCCGTTCTCTCCAAGTCCGCTACAACCAGATTTTTCATTGCAAATGGTAATCCAATTTCTACAACAATATTTTTGCATTGAGAATGGCATTTTTTTTTTTCGAAATAGAAGAAGTATTTTCTTTTTCACTCACCAGGTTCATCATACAAAATGTAGATTGAAGTATTGGTCCCTGCATTATTCTGTTTCCCGGTATGGTTCTTAGCCTCCGAATTTATGGCAACTCCGGCAGCGGTCTTCTCGATAGTCCTAGTTCTCGATCAGCCCTGCCGCTATGATATCTATGTCACTCATTGTTTCCTCAACATAAATACTTTGCTAAACCCTGGAAGTGAGCATTTTTGTTTTTTATTACGATGTATATATATAGTAAATATGTGTGTTATCTTTGTAATTGTTGTATTTACCTTAGTTAGGGTTTTGTATACCGTAATTCTAGGGATTGATTGATACGTAGTTTACTGTATATAACTTACCCTAATATCAAAAACAACGGCAAGAGATTAAGCCGCTTTTCCTTTGATCTCTTCGTTCTTCCCATGGTATCAATCGCAGGAGTTTTCTAATCTTCCTGTTGCTTGCTGCTGCTTGTTTCTTTTTCTCGGCGGATCATGACCAACACCGACGTTCCTCAGCCGTCCCGTGACAAGCAACCGGCCACTGACAGTGGTGACTTGGTCGTCCGCCGCCGTACCATCTCTCCATTTGATCTCTCGCCGAATGACTTCTCCGGCACTGTGATCACCACCGTTCAGCTTCGTGGTGAAAGCAACTACGTCGAATGGTCCAAAGCCATCACTACTGCCCTTCGTGCACGAAAGAAATTTGGGTTTGTTGACGGATCACTCACTCAGCCGCCGGATTCATCGCCGGATGCCGAAGACTGGGGGCCGATTAATTCTCTCTTGGTCTCCTGGATTTTAAACACAATTGAACCTGCTCTTCGCTCGACGATTTCTCACACCGAGATTGTTCGTGATTTGTGGCTGGACATCCAGGAACGTCTCTCCATTGTTAACGGCCCCCGGATTCAGCAGCTTAAGTCTGATCTTGCTCACTGCCGGCAGAAAGGGATGACTGTTATGGCTTACTATGGCCGGCTCAAGATGATCTGGGAGGAGTTAGCGTCCTACGATTCCTTCCCGGCGTGTACCTGTGGCGGCTGCTCTTGTAATCTCTCGGCGGCGGCAGAGAAGAAGGTGGAAGAAGAAAACCTCCATCAGTTTCTTCTCGGCCTCGATGACAGCCTCTATTCCACCGCCCGGTCTCAGATTCTTGCTCAAGATCCGCTTCCCCGACTGAGCAAAGCCTATGCCACCATCATCCGTGAGGAACGCTTGCACTCCATGACTGCCGCCAAGGAGCCTCTGCCGGAAACCATGGCTTTTGCAATTTCGACGCCGGTTCCGCCGGTTCCTGCTGTTGACGTGGTGGCCCGGGCAGCGGTTGTCGGCTCTAGTTCTCTGAATCGTGGGGCTTCTCCGGCGCCGGCTGCTTCCAGTGGTGCGTTATTTTGCACCAATTGCAATCGTCCTAATCACGATGTCAGCACATGTTACCGGTTGATTGGTTTTCCTCCCGGCTGGTCCTCTCGTGGTCGTGGCGGCGGACGCGGCCGTGGGCGAAATAATCCGAGTGCTGGCCGTGGCAACTCTCCACAACTTGGGACCGTTTCCGGAGTTCCAACTTAGCCTTCCGCGGCTGCCCACAATGTGTTATTACCTTCCAGTGGTGATGGCGTCGGTTCTGCTGTGACCGGACTTAATGCCGACCAGTGGAATACGCTTCTCTCTTTATTGAACTCGGCCAAATCTCCATCGAGTTCATCTTTGTCTGGTAAGCGTATTTGTGAAAATTGGATGTATGATTCGGGTGCCTCGCGTCACATGACAGGTTCTCTTGATTATTTTGCGACTATTTGTGATATACCTGGCATTTCTGTCCAATTACCGAATGGTCATTATACTTGGGCTAACAAAGCCGGCACTGTGGTTCTTAGTGCTAAAGTCACTTTGCAGAATGTACTGTTTGTTCCGAGTTTGACATGTCATCTTATCTCGGTTTCTCACCTATTGCGTGATACTGGCTCTATTGCTCACTTTACCTCTCATTTTTGTGTTATACAGGACCTCACTTCGAGGATGCTGATTGGAGCGGGTGAGCAAAGAGAGGGGCTTTATTTTTTCCGGGATGTGGAGAGTCTCGCTGCTGCTACAACACCTAGGGTTTCTTCACTCGAGTTATGGCATCAACGTCTTGGCCATCCCTCCTTTAAGGTTTTGGCTTCACTTCCTAGTGTCGGCTCTCCCTCGGATTTTAGTCATTTTCATAATAAGGCCTGTGATGTGTGTTTTAGGGCCAAACAGTCTCGATCTTCCTTTCCTGTTAGTAGGACTAAGACTGTTGAGATTTTTCAGTTAATTCATTGTGACTTGTGGGGTCCATATCGGGTTCCCTCATTTTCGGGTGCTCGGTATTTTTTGACAATTGTTGATGATTTTTCCCGTGCCACCTGGATTTATTTGTTGCATGATAAAAAGGAAGTTTCTTTAAAGCTTCGTCAGTTTTTTACTATGGTGGAACGTCAATATGGAAAATTGGTTAAACGCGTTCGTAGTGACAATGGTACCGAATTTATGTGTTTGACTGATTACTTTCTTCATCATGGCATTTTGCATGAGACGTCTTGTGTTGGGACCCCCCAGCAGAATGGCCATGTAGAACGTAAACACAGACATATTTTGAATGTGGCGCGTGCATTATGGTTTCAGGCTCGATTGCCCATTGAATTTTGGGGCGAATGTGTCTTAGCTGCTACCTATTTAATTAATCGTACTCCCTCGAGTGTCTTAAATGGAAAAACCCCATGTGATGTTTTGTATGACAAGCCTCCTTCTCTGGCTCATTTACGAGTGTTTGGTTGCCTTTGCTTTGCGCATCAACAGAATCGTAGCGGTGATAAGTTTTCTAGTCGCAGTAGGCGATGTGTGTTTGTGGGATACCCTTATGGCCAAAAAGGTTGGCGTGTCTATGATTTAGAAACTGGTGAATTTTTTGTTTCTCGAGATGTTATTTTTTTTGAACCGGAGTTTCCATCTATGTCGCCTGACTTGCCTGGTTCGTCTTCTCCATTGCTTGCGTCTTCACCTGTATTTTTGGATGATGACTCTCCTGATTCTGTTATTGAGCCTACTTCTGTCCCGGTTTCTCCGTCCGTTCCTCTTATTTCTCCGGACACTGGCGCATCTGCTTCTTCTGAACCTGCCTCCCAAGACAGGGGGGGTCTTTCCCATACACAACAGGAAGAACTACTGGGCCGTGGGCATCGTCTCAAACAGCGTTCTGTTCGCCTGCGAGATTTTACGGCACACACTGTTATAAGCCCCTCTCCTGCCACTTCCGCTGCTTCAGTTTCCTCAGGTGCGTCCTATCCTATACACAATTATGTCACCTGTGATTCTTTTTTCCCACATCATCGTGCATTTTTGGCTAGCGTCTCTGCAGGAATTGAGCCTCGTACTTTTTCTGAGGCTGTTTGGGACGTTCGATGGCAAGTGGCTATGCGCCAAGAGATACAGGCTTTGGAAAAGAATGACACATGGTCCATTAATTCTCTTCCTCCTGGCAAACGGGCTATCGGTTGCAAGTGGGTGTTCAAAATCAAGTACCACTCTGATGGCTCTGTGGAACGCTATAAAGCTCGCTTGGTGATTTTAGGCAACAATCAGATTGAAGGTCTGGATTACAATGAGACCTTCGCTCCGGTTGCTAAAATGGTGACTGTTCGTACATTGCTCACCGTCGCTGCTTCTAAAGGCTGGGAGCTTCATCAGATGGATGTTCATAACGCCTTTCTTCATGGTGATTTAGAAGAGGAGGTTTACATGAAGCTGCCTCCTGGTTTTCAGGCTCCTGCACCGGGATCTGTTTGTGAAGGGTTGAATAAAAAATTCGGAGCTTAACGGAGAGGTTAAAGTTTTCGTCAATTACAACAAAAAACTTGTTAAAAGACCAAAAATCGAGCAGAAAAAAGTATTAGGGGACTAAAACCGGTAGCAAAATATTTTTGGTTACTGGGTTAGGCTACTCCCAATACATTAGGGACCAAAACGTATATTCGTCCTTAATTTAAAAAATTTGCTTGACACAATTTTGTATTAATTTAAACGTATATGCAGGCTCATTGGGACGCTGCTCTTCGCGTTGTGCGGTTTCTGAAGGGTAATCCAGGCCAGGGTATTCTTCTTCGGGCAGATTCGGACCTTACCTTATCTGGCTGGTGCGATTCTGACTGGGCTAGTTGTCCGTTGACTCGCCGTTCTCTTACTGGCTGGTTTGTTCAGCTTGGTCAGTCCCCAATCTCTTGGAAAACGAAGAAACAACAGATGGTTGCTCGCTCGTCTGCTGAGGCAGAGTATCGCTCTATGGCTGCTACTGTTTGCGAGTTGAAGTGGCTGAAGGGTTTATTGCATTTTCTTGGTGTTGCACATTCTCATCCTATTCGGCTATACTGTGATAGTCAGGCTGCTTTACATATTGCCGCGAACCCGGTCTTTCATAAACGCACGAAACATATTGAGGTTGACTGTCATTTTTTACGAGATGAAGTCTTAAAGGGTACCATTCTTCCGAGTTATGTCTCTACTCATGTTCAGTTGGCGGACATTTTCACGAAGGCTCTGGGTAAACCCCAGTTTGAGTATTTTCTTGCCAAGTTGGGCATTCGGAACCTGCATGCTCCAACTTGAGGGGGGGTATTACGATGTATATATAGTAAATATGTGTGTTATCTTTGTAATTGTTGTATTTACCTTAGTTAGGGTTTTGTATACCGTAATTCTAGGGATTGATTGATACGTAGTTTACTGTATATAACTTACCCTAATATCAAAAACAACGGCAAGAGATTAAGCCGCTTTTCCTTTGATCTCTTCGTTCTTCTCATTTTTGGATATGGAAGTGAGTTTTTGCTTCAACAACGTTTAAAAAATTGAAGACAAGAAATCTCATAAATAGGTCCATCGATTTGTTAAACTACATGAACCCTAATAACAATATCCGCATTTAAATAGACATGGCAAAGAACAGATGTACAAGAGGAATAAACTAATAACACGTAGAATATAACGTTTTCGGTTTCTGAAATCACTTCTCGACTAATTAGAATAGGAAATTTCTTAAATCCAAATATATACAAAATTGTGTCAAGCAAATTTTTTAAATTAAGGACGAATATACGTTTTGGTCCCTAATATATTGGGGGTAGCCTAACCCAGTAACCAAAAATATTTTACTGCCGGTTTTAGTCCCCTAATACTTTTTTCTGCTCGATTTTTGGTCTTTTAACAAGTTTTTTGTTGTAATTGACGAAAACTTTAACCTCTCCGTTAAGCTCCGAATTTTTTATTCAACCCTTGCAGGGGATGGGTCCTACATTTGTTGACCTTGAAAAAAAAAAAAAGTCAGCTCCCTTTCACGGCCACGACTAGCGCCACCACCTCCGCAGCACCACTATCACCACCCACTCCTTCAACCCAATTCTCAGCACCACTACCACCTCTGCAAGCATAATTGATGACAAACGTGCACAAATAAGAATCAACAAAAAGTTGGACTACTAAAATTCCAAATTTACAGAGGTTTAATTAGAAAAGTAGAGCTGTTAAACAACTTAACTCTGACCTTCTCTTTCTCCTTGCAAATGTTGAGAGCAATGAACTCCAACAGCCCATTGAAAATTCATCAATTCACCACAAATCTCATCAAAGTCTAAGAGGAATCTTCCACAACCTCCCCACCAGCAACATGTCAAATTTCTTCTGTTTCAAAAACGTAGGCGGAGAGTTTCAAACCCAGGACCTTGCTTCCATTCTCAGTTCTCAATTCTCTCAAAAAATGTGAGAAACTGATGGGACTTTGGGGGAATTTCCGGCATGTCTTTGCAAATGAAATTTGTCTTTGGAAATGAAAACCACCCACCGATTTCATAGTACTGTTGTTCGGTGTTGCAAACTTGAAATTCAATCGGATAGTAGCATAAAAATGGCATCTTTCGGAAACGGTGTTGGTAGTCCGGCGTCTTCTTCTACAAAAGCGTCACCGCCTGCGGTGAAGTTGGAACCCATTGAAGCCACTCCAGAAAGCTTCCAAGAGTTCGGACAAATCATTGAGGCCACCCCCGACGGCAGTGAGTTTGGCCCTTCCGTCTTCTTCTACTTATTCTTCAGCCCAATCCTCAATTTTGCTTTAATTGGCAAACTTTGAAGGAGTGGTGGCGGTAGTGGTGCTGAGCATTGGGTTGAAGAAGTGGGTGGTGGTAGTGCTGCTGCAGAGGTGGTGGCGCTAGTGGTGGCAGTGAGAGGGGGATGAATTTTTTAATTTTTTTTAGGGTCAACAAATGTGGGACCCACCGTCTGCAGGAAATGAATAAAAAATTCGGAGCTTAACCGAAAGATTAAAATTTTCGTCAATTACAACAAAAAACTTGTTAAATGATCAAAATCGGAAAAAAAAAGTATTAGGGGACTAAAATATGTAGTGAAATCTTTTTGATGACTAGGTTAGGCTACCCCCAATACATTAGAGACCAAAACTTGCATTCGTCCTTGTATTAATTTCAAAAATTAGCAATTTCCATTGTACACATTACTTGGGATGTACTAATTTTGAAGATATCTGGGAATTAAATTTCTTGCATTTTTAAGCAGGCCCCAAATTTCATAATAGGAAAAACACTGAATCGCTATAATGTAATGAGAACATTTTAGTACCTATGTCAAGATTATTTTCCTTTCGTATTTGATTATTTAAATTAGCCGAATCAGTTTCAATGTACCTAATCACTTGTCTACATACATTACATATGCATAGAAGATCCATCTCATAGTAACAGCCATCAAAAAATTATTAATCATTTTTCTAAATCTCTAGGTTCTAGAAGGACCTACTCGAATTAGTTGGGATAACGATTTTGGATATGGAGCGCGAAATCAATGTATACCAAAAATTAGAAAAATAAGATCCTAATGATAATGGTAGTGGACCATTATTTAGGCACTTCATAATTGAGATTATCTAGCTTGAAAATTTTCTACCACAAATTACCTAGGTCATTATTGGAAATTGCAACAAACCAAAACACACAACACAACACTGAGTTCCCTATAAATTTCCCCATACCCAGTGAACCAAAATCATCCCTTTTCACAAAACTTCTCAAACAATACTTTCTCTCCTCAATTGGTAGCCATGGCAAGAAGAACTAGCAGGGGCCGCCAAAAGATCGAAATGGCGAAAATGACAAATGCAGACAGCCTCCAAGTCACCTTCTCGAAGCGCAAGAAGTGCGTTTTCAACAAAGCCAATGAGCTCAGCATCCTTTGTGATGCAGAAATTGCCCTAGTAGTCTTTTCCCCAGGTGGAAAGGCTTTCTCTTTTGGCCATCCTTCTGTTCAATCCATAATCGAAAAGTACCTCCAGAATCCAAATAACCCTACTGATGATCAGCGTATCAGTCAGAATCGTCGAAACACAAGCCTTCATGAGATGAACCAACTCGAAAAGCAAGTGAAAGAAGCAAAGAAACGTAGAGAAGCGTTGAAGAAAGCGAGGGAGGAGGACCCGGGAAAGGAATTTTGGAAGGTACCCATTGACGAGCTTGATTTGGAGCAGCTTTCGATGTATGCAAAGGCGTTGCAAGGACTCAAGAAGGATGTCGACAAGGAAATCCTTTCGCATTCGATTAAGGAAGCTGGCAGTACTTCCATTAATGATATGGAGAATGTACTTAATCCAGTCCGTGTTAGGGCTTCTGATGAATTATTACTTGCTGGACAGGTTTCCGGTGGCGGTAATTCTTTGGTTGTTGGCGATGAAGAGGAGGGAATTGATCTGAATCTTACACTGCGTCCGGGGTCTGGTAATTATCTGGAAAGGGTCGGTGATAATCGGAAACCAATCCGTGTTTATCAGTTTATTTAGTTATATCTAGGAGGATGATGGTCTATTTCTTGTTTGATTTTATTTAATGTTGTGTTATCCATCTATACTCTATTGTCTTGGTTGAATAGTCTGTTTACTTTTCTATAGTGTTTTAGGGTTACAAAATGGACTCAGTTTTAACTTCGCCTTTTTCATTGTAAGTCCTCAGCGGGTCGAAATACCCTATATTGTTGTAATGCCTTTTTTCTTTGTTTTGGAGTTTGGACCATCATCAATAAATCAAGTAAAATTTTCTTATGAGAATAAGAAAAATTTCAATTAAGATATCGAAAACCGCCCAACTCGGACTGATGAAAGAGTAATAAATAGCTGCATTTCAAACAAATTAGTCTAAAAAGTTTGATGATCTACTATAGTGGATGATTGTTGAATATGCAACTTGTGATTAATTAAATACATATGATTGCCTCAAAGAGATTAGAAAAAGCATATCCTACTATTTTGTTATCATATGTTTCAAAACAATTGTTTTGTTCATCATTATTAAAAATTAGACAATTATTTTGAGAAGGAAAAAGTTCAGAAAAACAAAAGTTATTTTCAATCAGTAACCTTAAATTTGAAAGTAAGCTACAGGTTAGTGTTAATAAAAACATAACAGGGCGCTCTACTATATACACGATTACTGAATCCTCCATAATTAATTTTCAATTTTTTTTAAGTCTTTATTTTTTTCTACATTGTTTGTTCGGGTATAGTAGAGGAGACAGTACCCTAGTTATTTTACAAACCAATAAACTCATCCGATCCCCATCCTTAATGTAGGCGTGATTTGATTTCTGAACATGTAAAAAATTCGACTTAGAACCTTCCTGTACACTAAGATCACATTCCCTTCATTTCTTTATTTATCTTGTAAAATAGAAACTTATATGAATTTGAAATGTACAATTTTTCATTTGTGTACGTATGATTTTCCTAACGATGTCTCAAAAATCTTATGTAGAAGTTATAAAAATGTTATCACACATTAGTCTTTATGACCTCTTTATAAAAACAAAAGAAAAGGTACACACATTGGAAAAGAAATTCTTATCCCTCCTACGGATTATTGTTATAAGTTCATATAAGGTATGCCGATTCATTAAGAAATCTAAGTCAATGCACTTGAAATGTTGCAAATTCATGAGTTTTCAATCAATTCGATAAAGGCTAAACCTAAAATTTCAAATTTCAACATTTGAACCTAGCTACTTTTAGCCTTCAAATATTGGAAGGACCATGGGCTTACAGTGGTTGGAGGATTCACAATAAAGGCTATGTCCTTGAACATTGGATCACATTTCAGCATTTTTTTTAAAAAAATTTAAATGCTGCAACAACAAGGAAGTTTGGTCTTCAACCTCATGATAATGTCACCTTACGTATTTTTGAACTAAAGAGATTTTATGATATGGATGACCTTAAATTGGACTGTAAGCGCGTTGTAGCTTATAATTTTACACAAAAAAACTGAAACGATGCAACCCAACCAAGCGGTGTGTCTTTTATTTTAAAATTTTCATAGATACGTCCAAGAGACTAGAAGCACAAGAGGATCAAACTATTAATAAATAGGTGACTTATTTAATCCAAATAGAGGTAGGAAAAATGTTTAAAACAAATTCTTTGAATCAATTCAATAATTAGTAATTTCCATTATAAACATTTATTACGATGTACATACAGAACTAATTTTGAAGACATATCTGGAAATTGAATATCTTGCATTTTTAAGCAGAGGCCCCAAAAGTTTAGTAAAAAGGAAAAACACTGAACTGCTATAATATAATGAGAATATTCTAGTGCATAAGTTTATTGCCAAGATTATTTACATTTCAAACTGTGTGAATCGTAATTTTATTCATTCACTTACGATTTTCGTGTTTTTCTTCCCATTCACTTACTATATTTCTTGCATAGGACGAATTTCAGTATCCGGACACGCTGAATCAGTTTTCAATGCACTTAACCTGTCTATAAAATTACAGATAAAAGATCCATTTCATAATAACAGCATTATTTCTTTTTCCATAAAATGTATCGTTTCATCTTTCCTCCAAAGTTTTTTGCTCCCTTTCCCAAATCGGAATCATGTTTCCCAAATTTGTTATTCTCATTTTGATACCTAAGTATTACCGTAATAATTATAATAATTTTTTTGTTAGGATTATGATGTAAAATATAAACGGAAGAAAATTGAACAAACAACTCATATTAACATACACATCCCAAAGGGGAAAAAGAAATCGTAAATTTTCAAATACATAATGAGAGACGTCTCGACTCGAATCTGAGGTAATTGCTACAATCACTTTGGACACTAAGCGTTTAATATAAAAAAAGGAAAAATATCATTCTCATAATTGGTAGGGTGCCATGATTTAGGCACTTCATAATTGAGATTATGTATCCACTAAATTTTCTACCTCAAATGACCAAATGCCAAAATAATTAGAAAAAGAAAGAACCAGAACACACAGTCACACTGAACTATCTATAAATTCCCCCATATCCTATGAACCAGAAATCATCCCTTCCATAGATTTATCAATCAAATACTTTCTTCTCACTATATAGCCATGGCAACAAAAACCAGTGGGAGCCGCCAAAAGATTGAAATGACGAAAATGAAAAATGAAAACAGCCTCCAAGCCACCTTCACAAAGCGCAGAAAGAGCGTTTTCAACAAAGCCAATGAACTCAGCATCCTTTGTGATGCAGAAGTTGCCCTAATAGTCTTTTCTCCAGGTGGAAAGGCTTTCTCTTTTGGCCATCCTTCCGTCCAATCCACGATCGAAAAGTACCTCCATTCTGAAAATAACCCATCATCATCTTCTGCTATATTAAAAACAATGAATTTTACGGAGCGTATTATTGAGGCTAATCGAAAATCACGCCTTCATCAGATGTGCAAAGAACTAAGTCAGCTTGAGAAGCTTTTGGAGGATGAAAAAAAACTCCGAAATGAGTTGGAGAAAGCGAGGAATGAGGACAAGGGAAAGCAGTGGTGGAAGGCACCCATTGATGAGCTTGATTTGGAGCAGCTTTCGATTTATGCAAAGGCTTTGGAAGGGCTCAAGAAAGATGTTGACAAGGAAAGGCTTTCGGTTCCGATGACGGAAAATGGTCATCCTCATCTTCTGAATCTTCTTGGAGATACTAACGTTAACGGAAGTGCTTCCGTTGATGATATGGAGAGTGGAAGTGCTTCTGATTTGTTACATGGTGGAAATGTTTCCGGTCGCGGTCCGTTTGGTTTTAGTGATGAAAAGGAGGAACTTGATCTGAATCGTACGGCGCTGCGGTTAGGGTCTGGTTCTGGTAGTCTAGGAAGGGCTGAAGATCATCAGAAATCTATCCGTCTTCATAATTTTATTTAGGTTTTTTCTTTCCTTAAAGATGATGATAGACTAATAGTAATAATGTTAATTAATGTCGTTTTGTTCGTCTTAATTAACTCTGCGTCTGGGACCAGTTTGATGTTCTGTTTTAGTTCAACAAACGTTATTAAAATGGGGCGGAGGAAGTAGATTTTGTTTGCAATGTTTCGGTTCTAACTCTGCCCTATTTCATTGCGATTCTTTTGTGCGATGTAGTAGTTAATTTGTGATAGCTGGTCATTTCAGTTTTTTGTTTTTTTTTTTTCTCTTTTTTTCTTTTTTGTCCGTTTAGGTTAGTTTATATCTTTGTAATGCTTTTGTTTTGGAGTTTGGACCATCAATCAAATACATCAATTTTTTCTAGAGAAAAGATAAAGTTTATTAAGATTGTGGGAACACCGAATCGGATGTATATCACCTTTCATCAAACTAATATATCTCTGAGAGTAAAGAAAAAAGCTTCCTCAATCAAACATTCATTCTTGTTGTTCTCTCTACTTTTTATTTTTATTTTTTTAAAAAAATCCACCATAATGGACTTTTTTTTTTAAAAAAAAAAATTCACCATAATAAACCCTATTTAAATGTGGGTAAACCCCCTTTACAACCCCTGATAGAAATTAAACCCTAGACGATTACCAAGAAGGACAACAACCTAACCACTAAGCTGTCACTCAATTCTCTGTTGTTCTCTCTACCTTATTGATTGTTGAATGTAATTGATTACTGAAATTCTTTATTCGTTTTATGTAACAGTTTACTTTATTCTATTGATCGATAATGGAGTTTCTATAAGTTGTCTTTGGGGAAAAAAAAAAAAAAACTTTATATAACCATATGCTACTGTTTTAGCGTTACTGATAGCATTGCCATCTTCTTCTTAATTTTCTTTCTTTTTCTTCTTTTTTTTTAAAAAATTAATAGGCATCCATTATTCTTATAAGAATCTGAAAGGGAAGTTAAACGATTGTACAAATTGAAAGCAACGATCCTTGTTCAGAAAAGATTAAGATACGATCTAAATGCAAAATCTTTTGTGTTTCTTTTTCTACGTTTTAGAGAACAATGTTGAAGAGAGAAAATGAATCAATGAAAAACGAAATGAGAAAAATATAGGATAACCTGAAATATTTTATTAAGATATAACCTGTACATTACAACAATAATAAGCAGTTGAGACAATTTTTTTGTGTCTCATTAAGTGGTGTAGTAGGATATATATGACTAAAATATGCGTGGGACACTACTAAATACTATTTACTAAATTACTATAATCGACTCATAATATAAATAATAAGAGATTTGAAAGTGTATTATCAGATTATCATTTAATATATAAGATACTTTAAATTGATCCATTAAGTAAGCTGATAGATCACAAACAACCAAAATAGTGCACTTATGATACTGTTTTATAATATGAACACACTAATCGTTTTCCAACAAGTCAATTTTTTAGCAAATGTCCAAATGCACATATAATGAGATACATTTTTAAAAAAGTACCCCACAATAAAGGTATTAATAGTCCTTATTTTGTTGTAGTGATAGCTTTCTTTCATGTTTACTATTATTATAACTAATTTCTTAAAACCTTTTTTTTTAAAAAAAATTGATCAAATGTTAAAAATAAAATTGTTATAATCTCTTTACGGTTATTCCAATCTGATACTTCTGTCTCCAAGATTTAGAGCTAACCTATGTTGATTTTTTTCCCGTAAAATTGAATTACGCTCATAGAGAGATTTGAACCACAATTTTGTGGTCGTGACCAGCTACACAGGCGCTAAAGATCATTTATGATGTGGCTAGAAGATTAGATTAGATGGCAACCGCAATCTGTCTTGTACTTGTGACATTACACACGAACAAAACTGAAACAATGTGACCCAAACAAATTTAAGTGCCAATTTTATATGGCTATAATATTTTTTATCTTAGTACTGACATTGGATTTCCAAAATAAAAGCGTTGTATGTGGACGTATAGTAAATTTCTTTTTCTTTTTTTGGGGGGGGGGGTGTTTGTTGGTGAATTTGACAGCATATTGTGAACCTAGCTCGTAAGTCTACAAAATGCTTCACGACTTGTGTTAATTTTTTTTTCTCACCGTGAAAGAAAATGATTCACAATTACCGGAGCTGAACTTATGGATCTTTTTCAAGACCTCAAGGTAGCGTGGGAGCTCGATGGTCGTAAGCTTCTGGCTGGAGTAGACAGTCAATTTGTGGTGCAAATGGTAAAAGGAGGATCGGATAAATGGGCATTCATGAAGTCTCATTCGCGGAACATTAGAGTTAATGTCGAGAGAATGGATTGTGAAATTGTCACATTCGCCGAATTTTGCAGAAAATTATTAACCTATGCTAACTTCTTCTAGCTCGGGGGGTCTTTATCATTTGAATGATCCACCGACTGAATTAAGTTGTTGGTGCTACACGATATTATTGGTGTTTTCTACCCATGGAATATTATGATTTGATGTACAAGTTACATTCATTTTCCTCCTTTTTTTGTTTTACTAAAAAAGAAAATCATTCACAATATGATGGGTGCCAAATCCATCAAAATAAAATCTATTTAAAACTTGTAGAAAGTGATAAGAAAGGTCGGTCCTACAGAGACGGTGCACATCAATAAAAATCAATTGAAAACAAGAACTTAAAGCAACATGCAATGGCGACTTGCACAAGTGACAGGTTGACTTGATGAAGTGAAAGAAACTTACTTCGTCCTCCCTCTACTTTATACAATATATTTTGATTTGATGGCTCTCTTTGTGGTCTAAAACTGTGATCAATCAAGTACTTTTCCGATTAAGGTCACTTCCGATTGTTTCAGATAGAGTCTTAATAGCAACAAACCAACTATCTTCCGATGTTAATTCCAAAATACTATTAAGTTATTAAGTTCCTAAGCCCCTATAATTGCATCATACCAAACAATTATCTTCCAATGTTATTTGAAACCTTCGGTTGTTACCTCCTCTTCACCCGCTAATCTTAGACATTTTAAGTTAAACTTACACTTCCGAAATTCACATAACATACATGCACAACTAGTTAAGTGGCCAATTCAACTAAAGAAGGTTAATTAAAACTCTAAAACTAGACACACAAATATCATCCAAAAGTTAAATCAAAACATACTTATATAAAAATAGAGGGATTAGACCCTAGTAAAGAGTTTAGCCACATATGTTTACAATCTTGAATACAAAAGCAATGAGGTACAAAACTTCCAACATGTTTATAACAATGAGGAAAGTAAACAGAGAAGCAAATTCTGGGAGTGTTTTGGCTTTGCTCTGCAGACTCTAGGAAGTCAGGTTCTCACTTCGCCAAGTCGTTCCCGTTCCTGCTTCATGCTATTGCTCTGTTCTTCACTTTGTTTTTGTCTAAGCTAACTCTGGTTTTTTTCTCTCTTTCTCTTGATACCTTTGCTGCTGCTGATCTTCTGCCTTTTACAGAAGTTAGAGGAGGTTGACTTTGTTTAGCTTGATTGATCTCCACTTCAACTTTTTGAGTCAAAGTTGATTCCTTGATTTATGGAAGAGTCATAGCTCCCTCATTCTCCTTTTTTTCCCCGACTTTAATCACCTTTCAGGAGTTGTGAGTTCGATTAATCCTTTGCAGCCCAACAATCTCCCTTGAAATCAACAACGTCACATTGTCCTTGTTCTTCCTTAGCCCCAAAGGTTGCACAATTGTTCAGCTACCATGATCTGTTTCCACCGTAATTCTTCTTCTCTTCATTTCACATCTTCAATCTAATCAGCCTTTTTTCAATCTAACTCCCCCTTTTGTAAACTCTTAGGTTCATTAGTTCATTAGAGTTTATAATTAACTATCCCAAGCCAGTGTAAAGGAGGAGGGTTACGTTAGGTTGGCAGAAAGTGTAAAACTTTGACACTCTCATAAATATGGATCATATAAGCAATCATCTAAATTTTAGGATGCCACTCGAAAGTGGCACACCACAGAGTCCGACTGCGTCATCTTGGCGAAGACCGCTACATCTCCATGGAGACTTGGGTGTAGTGAAAAATGTGCAAGAGGCCCCGGACGCCAAGAACGAATTACAAGTAAATCTTCCACATCTTGGCAAGGACCACTACAAACCCATGAGGTTGTAAGAGTAGTGGGAACTAGGAGAAAGACCCAATATAGAAATGATAGGACTTGTAGGATAGGGAGATGGAATATAGGGACCCTAACAAGTAAGTCCTTAGAAATTGTTGAAATTATGAAAGAAGACGGGTAAATATAATGTGTTTGCAAGAAACAAAATAGGTAGGGGAAAAGGCCAAAGTTCTAGATAGCACGGGGTACAAACTTTGGTATAGTTGGAAAGATAGAAATAGGAATGGTGTAAGAATCATAGTCGATTCATTATTTACAGATCACGTAGTGGGGTTGTTAGAAAAGGAGATAGAATCATAACCTTAAATAAAGTACATGGCGGGCATCCCTCTGATTTTATTGATTGAAAAAATAAAGTTACAAAAGGCAGTGCTTAAGGCTTACCCAAACTAAAAGAGACCGTCTTACAAAAAGTTTGTCTAAAAACTCCATGACGGTTCTCTAACAGAATTATAGCTACGAACTGTCTTACAAAGATAAAATACTCCCTGATAGTTCTTGAATTTCTTAAAACTTCTAAGCTAAGAGAATGTCTTACAAAGTTCTTAAGCAAAAATCCCATTACATCTCTATATTTTTTACTATCTAACATGTAAATAACCTTAATGATTTTAATAGGGAAGGAATCAACATAATTAGTGTTTATGCGCCTCAAGTAGGAATAAATGAATCCATTAAAACTAAATTTTGGGAGGATTTGGCGTCTTTGATCCAATCAATTCCCCAAAATGAAAAAAATTTTAATAGCATGGATTTAAATGGGCATGTAGAGAAGGGCAACGACGATTATGAGAGGGTGCAAGGGGGCAATGGCTATGGGGTGCAAAATAATGAGGGCAAAACCATATTAGATCTCTC